CTTTTTCAAAACTATTGTAGGTGTAAGTGAATGTGTGATTGGGCCAGGCGGCGGAGTGGATCCGGGTATTAGCAACGACATAGGACACGCCCACTTCAACTGTAGCTCAGTGATTACCTTGAGCCACTGTTGTAGTGGGCGTTCTTTGTCGTTAGATTACCTGGCGCTACTGTTGTAGTGGGCGTGTTCTGTGTCGTTAGATTACCTGGAGCTACTGTTGTAGTGGGCGTGTTCTGTGTCGTTAGATTACCTGGAGCCACTGTTGTAGTGGGCGTTCTTTGTCGTTAGATTACCTGGAGCTACTGTTGTAGTGGGCGTGTTCTGTGTCGTGAGATTACCTGGAGCTACTGTTGTTGTGGGCGTGTTCTGTGTCGTTAGATTACCTGGCGCTACTGTTGTAGTGGGCGTGATCTGTGTCGGAAGATTACCTGGAGCTACTGTTGTAGTGGGCGTGTTCTGTGTCGTGAGATTACCTGGAGCCACTGTTGTAGTGGGCGTGTTCTGTGTCGTTTGATTACCTGGAGCTACTGTTGTAGTGGGCGTGTTCTCTGTCGTTAGATTACCTGGAGCTACTGTTGTAGTGGGCGTGTTCTGTGTCGTTAGATTACCTGGAGCCACTGTTGTAGTGGGCGTGTTCTGTGTCGTTAGATTACCTGGAACTACTGTTGTAGTGGGCGTGTTATGTGTCGTTAGATTACCTGGAGCCACTGTTGTAGTGGGCGTTCTTTGTCGTTAGATTACCTGGCGCTACTGTTGTAGTGGGCGTGTTCTGTGTCGTTAGATTACCTGGCGCTACTGTTGTAGTGGGCGTGTTCTATGTCGTTAGATTACCTGGAGCTACTGTTGTAGTGGGCGTGTTCTGTGTCGTTAGATTACCTGGAGCTACTGTTGTAGTGGGCGTGTTCTGTGTCGTTAGATTACCTGGAGCTACTGTTGTAGTGGGCGTGTTCTGTGTCGTTAGATTACCTGGAGCTACTGTTGTAGTGGGCGTGTTCTGTGTCGTTAGATTACCTGGCGCTGCTGTTGTAGTGGGCGTGTTATGTGTCGTTAAACTACCTGGAGCCACTGTTGTAGTGGGCGTGTTCTGTGTCGTGAGATAACCTGGAGCTACTGTTGTAGTGGGCGTGTTCTGTGTCGTTAGATTACCTGGAGCTACTGTTGTAGTGGGCGTGTTCTGTGTCGTGAGATTACCTGGAGCTACTGTTGTTGTGGGCGTGTTCTGTGTCGTTAGATTACCTGGCGCTACTGTTGTAGTGGGCGTGATCTGTGTCGGAAGATTACCTGGAGCTACTGTTGTAGTGGGCGTGTTCTGTGTCGTGAGATTACCTGGAGCCACTGTTGTAGTGGGCGTGTTCTGTGTCGTTTGATTACCTGGAGCTACTGTTGTAGTGGGCGTGTTCTGTGTCGTTAGATTACCTGGAGCTACTGTTGTAGTGGGCGTGTTCTGTGTCGTTAGATTACCTGGAGCTACTGTTGTAGTGGGCGTGTTCTGTGTCGTTAGATTACCTGGAACTACTGTTGTAGTGGGCGTGTTATGTGTCGTTAGATTACCTGGAGCCACTGTTGTAGTGGGCGTTCTTTGTCGTTAGATTACCTGGCGCTACTGTTGTAGTGGGCGTGTTCTGTGTCGTTAGATTACCTGGCGCTACTGCTGTAGTGGGCGTGTTCTATGTCGTTAGATTACCTGGAGCTACTGTTGTAGTGGGCGTGTTCTGTGTCGTTAGATTACCTGGAGCTACTGTTGTAGTGGGCGTGTTCTGTGTCGTTAGATTACCTGGAACTACTGTTGTAGTGGGCGTGTTCTGTGTCGTTAGATTACCTGGAGCCACTGTTGTAGTGGGCGTAATTTGTCGTGAGATTACCTGGCGCTACTGTTGTAGTGGGCGTGTTCTGTGTCGTTAGATTACCTGGCGCTACTGTTGTAGTGGGCGTGTTCTATGTCGTTAGATTACCTGGAGCTACTGTTGTAGTGGGCGTGTTCTGTGTCGTTAGATTACCTGGAGCTACTGTTGTAGTGGGCGTGTTCTGTGTCGTTAGATTACCTGGAGCTACTGTTGTAGTGGGCGTGTTCTGTGTCGTTAGATTACCTGGAACTACTGTTGTAGTGGGCGTGTTCTGTGTCGTGAGATTACCTGGAGCCACTGTTGTAGTGGGCGTGTTCTGTGTCGTTTGATTACCTGGAGCTACTGTTGTAGTGGGCGTGTTCTGTGTCGTTAGATTACCTGGAGCTACTGTTGTAGTGGGCGTGTTCTGTGTCGTTAGATTACCTGGAACTACTGTTGTAGTGGGCGTGTTATGTGTCGTTAGATTACCTGGAGCCACTGTTGTAGTGGGCGTTCTTTGTCGTTAGATTACCTGGCGCTACTGTTGTAGTGGGCGTGTTCTGTGTCGTTAGATTACCTGGCGCTACTGCTGTAGTGGGCGTGTTCTATGTCGTTAGATTACCTGGAGCTACTGTTGTAGTGGGCGTGTTCTGTGTCGTTAGATTACCTGGAGCTACTGTTGTAGTGGGCGTGTTCTGTGTCGTTAGATTACCTGGAGCTACTGTTGTAGTGGGCGTGTTCTGTGTCGTTAGATTACCTGGAGCTACTGTTGTAGTGGGCGTGTTCTGTGTCGTTAGATTACCTGGAGCTACTGTTGTAGTGGGCGTGTTCTGTGTCGTTAGATTACCTGGAACTACTGTTGTAGTGGGCGTGTTCTGTGTCGTTAGATTACCTGGAGCCACTGTTGTAGTGGGCGTTCTTTGTCGTTAGATTACCTGGAGCTACTGTTGTAGTGGGCGTGTTCTGTGTCGTTAGATTACCTGGCGCTACTGCTGTAGTGGGCGTGTTATGTGTCGTTAGATTACCTGGAGCCACTGTTGTAGTGGGCGTTCTTTGTCGTTAGATTACCTGGCGCTACTGTTGTAGTGGGCGTGTTCTGTGTCGTTAGATTACCTGGCGCTACTGCTGTAGTGGGCGTGTTCTATGTCGTTAGATTACCTGGAGCTACTGTTGTAGTGGGCGTGTTCTGTGTCGTTAGATTACCTGGAGCTACTGTTGTAGTGGGCGTGTTCTGTGTCGTTAGATTACCTGGAGCTACTGTTGTAGTGGGCGTGTTCTGTGTCGTTAGATTACCTGGAGCTACTGTTGTAGTGGGCGTGTTCTGTGTCGTTAGATTACCTGGAGCTACTGTTGTAGTGGGCGTGTTCTGTGTCGTTAGATTACCTGGAACTACTGTTGTAGTGGGCGTGTTCTGTGTCGTTAGATTACCTGGAGCCACTGTTGTAGTGGGCGTTCTTTGTCGTTAGATTACCTGGAGCTACTGTTGTAGTGGGCGTGTTCTGTGTCGTTAGATTACCTGGCGCTACTGCTGTAGTGGGCGTGTTCTATGTCGTTAGATTACCTGGAGCTACTGTTGTAGTGGGCGTGTTCTGTGTCGTTAGATTACCTGGAGCTACTGTTGTAGTGGGCGTGTTCTGTGTCGTTAGATTACCTGGAGCTACTGTTGTAGTGGGCGTGTTCTGTGTCGTGAGATTACCTGGAGCTACTGTTGTAGTGGGCGTGTTCTGTGTCGTTAGATTACCTGGAGCTACTGTTGTTGTGGGCGTGTTCTGTGTCGTTAGATTCCCTCGAGTCACTGTTGTACTGGGCGTGTTCTGTGTCGTTAGATTACCTGGAGCTACTGTTGTAGTGGGCGTGTTCTGTGTCGTTAGATTACCTGGAGCTACTGTTGTAGTGGGCGTGTTCTGTGTCGTTAGATTACCTGGAACTACTGTTGTAGTGGGCGTGTTCTGTGTCGTTAGATTACCTGGAGCTACTGTTGTAGTGGGCGTGTTCTGTGTCGTGAGATTACCTGGAGCTACTGTTGTTGTGGGCGTGTTCTGTGTCGTTAGATTACCTGGCGCTACTGTTGTAGTGGGCGTGATCTGTGTCGGAAGATTACCTGGAGCTACTGTTGTCGTGGGCGTGTTCTGTGTCGTGAGATTACCTGGAGCCACTGTTGTAGTGGGCGTGTTCTGTGTCGTTTGATTACCTGGAGCTACTGTTGTAGTGGGCGTGTTCTCTGTCGTTAGATTACCTGGAGCTACTGTTGTAGTGGGCGTGTTCTGTGTCGTTAGATTACCTGGAGCTACTGTTGTAGTGGGCGTGTTCTGTGTCGTTAGATTACCTGGAACTACTGTTGTAGTGGGCGTGTTATGTGTCGTTAGATTACCTGGAGCCACTGTTGTAGTGGGCGTTCTTTGTCGTTAGATTACCTGGCGCTACTGTTGTAGTGGGCGTGTTCTGTGTCGTTAGATTACCTGGCGCTACTGTTGTAGTGGGCGTGTTCTATGTCGTTAGATTACCTGGAGCTACTGTTGTAGTGGGCGTGTTCTGTGTCGTTAGATTACCTGGAGCTACTGTTGTAGTGGGCGTGTTCTGTGTCGTTAGATTACCTGGAGCTACTGTTGTAGTGGGCGTTTTCTTTGTCTACATTGTTAATTCTTGTAGCTTTGTTGTTGCAAAATCCAATAATCAGAAAGAAAGACAAAATATATTTATTAATCAGCTAAATATGTTCTTATCATCGATACATTTACATATATGTCGATTTACGCGAGACCATAAAATGTTGAAACATGTAAAGATTTCATCCTGAACATATTATTCAAACAATAATCTGAATTATCAACCAACTACAAAGGCACACGCGCAGAAAAGAAGTAACAAAAGCCAGTAACATCATATCAACATCATTCCACCAAGAAAAACGTTTTTCCCAATATATTCATGGAAGAAGTAAAAAGCTTGTTGGTATGTATCCCTGTTAAGCTGGTGGAGATGGTAGAACTCCAACAGCATCATTCTCGTCCCTCCTCACACACTGCTTCTTTGAGACGTTGAAATGCATCATCGCGGGGCACGAGCGGATGTAGTAGATGCCGGTGACGTCACACTGGACATACTTGTTGTGGTCGGGGGCGTAGAGGAAGAACATGTTGCCGGCGTCGATGTTGGCCTTAGTGCAGGGGTCGACGAAGGTGAAAGCAGTGGATCCGACTCCCTGGTGCTGGTAGTCAGGGGAACACGTCTGTGCGTCCTGGAACCAGAGGAAGCCATCCTGGCAGGAGTTCTCCCATGGCATGCCTGTAAGTAAGACGGAGTGAGTGAGTGAGTTGGGGTTAACGCCCCTTTGAAAAGAGTATTCAACTGTGATTCTGGTCGTTTTGTTTATCTGTTGTTTTACGCCACACTCAACAATATTGTATAACGGCGGTAAATAATCAAATTTGGACGAGACAATCCAGTGATTGACATCATGAGCATCGATCTACATTTACGCAGTTGGGACACGATGACATGCTTCAATCAAACCTAACTACCCGTCGCCTCTTAGGACAAAGTATGGGTAGTTTGATATGAATTCTAACCCGGATCTTCGCAGGGGGATTCAGGTCGTAGACGTTTATAACTTTGGTGACACCAAGGATTGTAATCAGCTGGTCCTGGCACAAATAAGGGATGCAAATCTGAACAGCGAATTGAGGAGCCTTCAACGTCTTAGCCACCTGTGCGATTAGACTAACATCTAGTCTCATAAATTAAAATATTAAACAGAAAAAAAGAGTTGTAAAATCTTAATATAGAATAATAAAACGGAGCCCTGAGGCTCTCTTCATTTCCTAATTGCAGTAATCTAGACTTACAAAATAATATAGACTTGCAGGGGCAACATTGGAGATATATGTTTCAGGGGTCTGAATGACAGCGGCAGTGGATAAAGCGTTCGCTCGTCACGCCGTGGACCCGGGTTCGAATCTCCAAATGGGTACAATGTGACTGTGAAACCCATTTCCGGTGTCCCCCGCCGTGATATTACTGGAATATTCCGAAAAGCGGCGTAAAACCATTATCACTCACTCACTCTGAATGACAGACTTACGTGCGCCGTCAAAGTGTGTGACATAATGGTATCTGAATATCGAGACAGTGTATTGTTTAAATATCCCATATTCCGGTCTGTGAGATCTCCCCGGATTCTACTTGTTGTTAATCAGTGACGAAGCCAAAGACCGAAATAGTCGGGATGTTGGTCTACGTCTACTGAAAACAGTTGAATGAAGGAATGAAGGGCTATCAACACCTCTTACCCGAGGGGTCACAGTGGATGTACTTGGCGAGGTTTCCGGGGTAGGGGAAGTACATGTGGTTGTTCCTGATCTCGTTTAAGGTGCATGGGTTGGATATGTTGTTGGTGGCGATGGGTTTCTTGTTGTTGTTGATGACGGCGTGTTCAGTACCACACACATGCGAGTCGGCGATGTAGCGCTTCTGACCCGGGCACTGAGTGATGTACATGTCGCCGGTGAGGTCGCACCTGATGAACTTCGTGTTGTCGTACGGATGAGGGAAGTAGAGTTCGTTGTTGCTGATCCTGGCGGCTGTGCAAGGGTTTTCAATCTCCTGCCAGTTATCTGAAAATCAGCAGAATTCTTATTCTTAAAAATAACCACAGTAACCCAGGAACTACCTTTTCAATCCCAGCTGCGTGGATATCAACCACTGGATTGTCTGGTCTAGACTCGGTTATGTACAGACCAACGTCATATAGCTGGAATAATGCCGAGTGTGGCGTTAAACAACAAACACACACATGTTCTCAAAGCACATCTATGCTGCACGTGCATCTTCATCCAGCCACAGTGAACACCTATGGAGGATTCCCCCACGCAGATCTCATGCTGCACGTGCATCTACATCCAACCACAGTGAACACCTATGAAAGATTCCCCCACGCAGATCTCGTGCTGCACGTGCATCTACATCCAACCACAGTGAACACCTATGAAAGATTCCCCCACGCAGATCTCGTGCTGCACGTGCATCTACATCCAACCACAGTGAACACCTATAAAAGATTCCCCCACGCAGATCTCGTGCTGCACATGCATCTACATCCAGCCACAGTGAACACCTATGAAAGATTCCCCCACGCATATCTCATGCTGCACGTGCATCTACATCCAACCACAGTGAACACCTATGACAGATTCCCCCACGCAGGCGTTTCTGTGTTCGGAACATAAAGATTACCTTTTAAACAAACATTGCTTTTTGCGCTGATTTCATGATTCGCTTTGGCATCAAAAGTATTTATCTTATATTGTTTTAAAGAAGATAAAAGTGCTGCACACATAACTTGTACACCTGCAAAGCAATTGGGATCTGAATATTTGCAGTAAAATCTTGATCCAAAATTATATGATTTTATTTTACACCAACTGAGTTTTCACTTTGGAGTTGTTCAACTGAAGGTGTCTAACGGCCGTTCTAGACAGTATTGGGAGCTTAATGTGCTAATGTGTATTTCAGTCAGGAGATATAGCGATATGTGCAGATATGTGATTTCATACTGTACCTCTACACAAGAACTTGTTGTATTTGCTGATGAGGAAGTCGGTTTTGGTACACTCCTTCTCAACTCCATCCTCCCGGCATATGATATCAGGACCTTTAAGAAATACGTACATAGATGACTCACATGTTTCAGCAAACACGTGTTGACATTCATATTCACTTTTAAATAATGAATAATATGCCAGGTTCAGCATAAAGTTCCGGGTATCTTAAAGAAAGTACTAGAATTCTATATTCATCATACTTAATATGTATGTCTTGATATAGTCCTGACTGTTGATACACGTGGTCGTGAGCCCGACCACCCGATCCCGTAACTCGCCTCTTATCACAAGCATGGGTTGCTGAAGACCTGTTCTAAGCCGGATCTTTACGGGGTCATGTTTTCCAAAAGCGATTTTCTAGTTTAGTGAATGCGCTATCGCTGTAAGGAGCTTGAGTATCATGTAAGGGGAGATTACCTAACACCGACGCCGGACAAGCATAATCTAATTTGTACTACTGAGTGATGACAGTGTAATAGTAAGATCTCTAGTCAGGTTAACGTACCTTTTGGTGGTCCTTTTACAATGGACATGTGGACAGAAGCATTGTCACAGTCCTTTAACCCCGTGGCGGAAGCAGGGAGCTTAGCTCCTTCGTACGTGATGTACAGTGGACGGCCGTCTATTGACGTGTTGACGTACATCACTGACGGGAGGTCGCCCGTGGCAACGCCCTTGACGTCATGGAACGCGGGACCCGGATGTGTAACCTCGTAGGAGGCGTATACATTGACGACGCCGCAGTTGACTGTCGTCTGCAGAAACAGGAGTAAGAGACAAATAGTGGTTGATGGAATGAGAGACATGGGGTTTCCCACAAACAGTGGTTGATGGAATGAGAGACATGGGGTTTCCATCAAACAGTGGTTGATGGAGTGAGAGACGTGTAGTTTCCCACAAATAGTGGTTGATGGAGTGAGAGACATGGGGTTTCCCACAAACAGTGGTTGATGCAATGAGAGACATGGAGTTTCCCACAAACAATGGTTGATGGAGTGAGAGACATGGGGTTTCCCACAAACAGTGGTTGATGGAGTGAGAGACATGGAGTTTCCCACAAACAGTGGTTGATGGAGTGAGAGACATGTGGTTTCCCACAAATAGTGGTTGATGGAGTGAGAGACATGGGGTTTCCCACAAACAGTGGTTGATGGAGTGAGAGTCATGGAGTTTCCCACAAACAGTGGTTGATGGAGTGAGAGAGATGGGGTTTCTCCCAAACAGTGGTTGATGGAGTGAGAGAGATGGGGTTTCCGACAAAAAATGGTTGATGGAGTGAGAGACATGGAGTTTCCCACAAACAGTGGTTGATTGAGTGAGAGACATGGGGATGTCCACAAATAGTGGTTGATGGAGTGAGAGACATGGAGTTTCCCACAAACAGTGGTTGATGCAATGAGAGACATGGAGTTTCCCACAAACAGTGGTTGATGGAGTGAGAGACATAGGGTTGTCCACAAACAGTGGTTGATGGAGTGAGAGACATGGGGTTTCCGACAAACGGTGGTTGATGGAGTGAGAGACATGGGGTTGTCCACAAATAGTGGTTGATGGAGTGAGAGAGATGGGGTTTCCGACAAACAGTGGTTGATGGAGTGAGAGACATGGGGTTTCTCCCAAACAGTGGTTGATGGAATGAGAGACATGGAGTTTCCCACAAACAGTGGTTGATGGAGTGAGAGACATGGAGTTTCCCACAAACAGTAGTTGATGCAATGAGAGACATGGAGTTTCCCACAAACAATGGTTGATGGAGTGAGAGACATGGGGTTTCCCACAAACAGTGGTTGATGGAGTGAGAGACATGGAGTTTCCCACAAACAGTGGTTGATTGAGTGAGAGACATGTGGTTTCCCACAAATAATGGTTGATGGAGTGAGAGACATGGGGTTTCCCACAAACAGTGGTTGATGGAGTGAGAGTCATGGGGTTTCCCACAAACAGTTGTTGATGGAGTGAGAGAGATGGGGTTTCTCCCAAACAGTGGTTGATGGAGTGAGAGAGATGGGGTTTCCCACAAACAGTGGTTGATGCAATGAGAGGCATGAGGTTTCCCACAAACAGTGGTTGATGGAGTGAGAGACATGGGGTTTCTCCCAAACAGTGGTTGATGCAATGAGAGACATGGAGTTTCCCACAAACAGTGGTTGATGGAGTGAGAGACATGAGGTTTCCCACAAACAGTGGTTGATGGAGTGAGAGACATGGGGTTTTCCACAAACAGTGGTTGATGAAGTGAGAGACATAGAGTTTCCCACAAAGAGTGGTTGATGGAGTGAGAGACATGGGGTTTCCCACAAACAGTGGTTGATGGAGTGAGAGACATGGAGTTTCCCACAAAGAGTGGTTGATGCAATGAGAGACATGGAGTTTCCCACAAACAGTGGTTGATTGAGTGAGAGACATGGGGTTGTCCACAAACAGTGGTTGATTGAGTGAGAGAGATGGGGTTTCCGACAAACAGTGGTTGATGGAGTGAGAGACATGGAGTTTCCCACAAACAGTGGTTGATTGAGTGAGAGACATGGGGTTGTCCACAAATAGTGGTTGATGGAGTGAGAGACATGGAGTTTCCCACAAACAGTGGTTGATGCAATGAGAGACATGGAGTTTCCCACAAACAGTGGTTGATGGAGTGAGAGACATAGGGTTGTCCACAAACAGTGGTTATTGGAGTGAGAGACATGGGGTTTCCGACAAACGGTGGTTGATTGAGTGAGAGACATGGGGATGTCCACAAATAGTGGTTGATGGAGTGAGAGACATGGAGTTTCCCACAAACAGTGGTTGATGCAATGAGAGACATGGAGTTTCCCACAAACAGTGGTTGATGGAGTGAGAGACATAGGGTTGTCCACAAACAGTGGTTGATGGAGTGAGAGACATGGGGTTTCCGACAAACGGTGGTTGATGGAGTGAGAGACATGGGGTTGTCCACAAATAGTGGTTGATGGAGTGAGAGAGATGGGGTTTCCGACAAACAGTGGTTGATGGAGTGAGAGACATGGGGTTTCTCCCAAACAGTGGTTGATGGAATGAGAGACATGGAGTTTCCCACAAACAGTGGTTGATGGAGTGAGAGACATGGAGTTTCCCACAAACAGTAGTTGATGCAATGAGAGACATGGAGTTTCCCACAAACAATGGTTGATGGAGTGAGAGACATGGGGTTTCCCACAAACAGTGGTTGATGGAGTGAGAGACATGGAGTTTCCCACAAACAGTGGTTGATTGAGTGAGAGACATGTGGTTTCCCACAAATAATGGTTGATGGAGTGAGAGACATGGGGTTTCCCACAAACAGTGGTTGATGGAGTGAGAGACATGGGGTTTCTCCCAAACAGTGGTTGATGCAATGAGAGACATGGAGTTTCCCACAAACAGTGGTTGATGGAGTGAGAGACATGAGGTTTCCCACAAACAGTGGTTGATGGAGTGAGAGACATGGGGTTTTCCACAAACAGTGGTTGATGAAGTGAGAGACATAGAGTTTCCCACAAAGAGTGGTTGATGGAGTGAGAGACATGGGGTTTCCCACAAACAGTGGTTGATGGAGTGAGAGACATGGAGTTTCCCACAAAGAGTGGTTGATGCAATGAGAGACATGGAGTTTCCCACAAACAGTGGTTGATTGAGTGAGAGACATGGGGTTGTCCACAAACAGTGGTTGATTGAATGAGAGAGATGGGGTTTCCGACAAATAGTGGTTGATGGAGTGAGAGACATGGAGTTTCCCACAAACAGTGGTTGATTGAGTGAGAGACATGGGGTTGTCCACAAATAGTGGTTGATGGAGTGAGAGACATGGAGTTTCCCACAAACAGTGGTTGATGCAATGAGAGACATGGAGTTTCCCACAAACAGTGGTTGATGGAGTGAGAGACATAGGGTTGTCCACAAACAGTGGTTATTGGAGTGAGAGACATGGGGTTTCCGACAAACGGTGGTTGATGGAGTGAGAGACATGGGGTTGTCCACAAATAGTGGTTGATGGAGTGAGAGAGATGGGGTTTCCGACAAACAGTGGTTGATGGAGTGAGAGACATGGAGTTTCCCACAAACAGTAGTTGATGCAATGAGAGACATGGAGCTTCCCACAAACAGTGGTTGATGGAGTGAGAGACATGGGGTTTCTCCCAAACAGTGGTTGATGCAATGAGAGACATGGAGTTTCCCACAAATAGTGGTTGATGGAGTGAGAGACATGGAGTTTCCCACAAACAGTGGTTGATGCAATGAGAGACATGGAGTTTCCCACAATCAATGGTTGATGGAGTGAGAGACATGGGGTTTCCCACAAACAGTGGTTGATGGAGTGAGAGACATGTAGTTTCCCACAAACAGTGGTTGATTGAGTGAGAGACATGTGGTTTCCCACAAATAGTGGTTGATGGAGTTAGAGACATGGGGTTTCCCACAAACAGTGGTTGATGGAGTGAGAGTCATGGGGTTTCCCACAAACAGTGGTTGATGGAGTGAGAGAGATGGGGTTTCTCCCAAACAGTGGTTGATGGAGTGAGAGTGATGGGGTTTCCCACAAACAGTAGTTGATGCAATGAGAGGCATGAGGTTTCCCACAAACAGTGGTTGATGGAGTGAGAGACATGGGGTTTCTCCCAAACAGTGGTTGATGCAATGAGAGACATGGAGTTTCCTACAAACAGTGGTTGATGGAGTGAGAGACATGGAGTTTCCCACAAACAGTGGTTGATGGAGTGAGAGACATGGGGTTTTCCACAAACAGTGGTTGATGAAGTGAGAGACATGGAGTTTCCCACAAACAGTGGTTGATGCAATGAGAGACATGGATTTTCCCACAAACAGTGGTTGATGGAGTGAGAGACATGGGGTTTCTCCCAAACAGTGGTTGATGGAGTGAGAGACATGGAGTTTCCCACAAACAATGGTTGATGCAATGAGAGACATTGAGTTTCCCACAAACAGTGGTTGATGGAGTGAGAGACATGGAGTTTCCCACAAACAGTGGTTGATGCAATGAGAGACATGGAGTTTCCCACAAACAGTGGTTGATGCAATGAGAGACATTGAGTTTCCCACAAAGAGTGGTTGATGGAGTGAGAGACATGGGGTTTCCCACAAATAGTGGTTGATGGAGTGAGAGACATGGAGTTTCCCACAAACAGTGTTTGATGGAGTGAGAGACATGGAGTTTCCCACAAACAGTGGTTGATGCAATGAGTGACATGGAGTTTCCCACAAACAGTGGTTGATGGAGTGAGAGACATGGAGTTTCCCACAAACAGTGGTTGATGGAGTGAGAGACATGGGGCTTCCCACAAATAGTGGTTGATGGAGTGAGAGACATGGAGTTTCCCACAAACAGTGGTTGATGGAGTGAGAGACATGGGGCTTCCCACAAATAGTGGTTGATGGAGTGAGAGACATGGAGTTTCCCACAAACAGTGGTTGATGGAGTGAGAGACATGTTTTTTTTTTCCACAAACAGTGGTTGATGGAGTGAGAGACATGGAGTTTCCCACAAACAGTGGTTGATGCAATGAGAGACATGTAGTTTCCCACAAACAGTGGTTGATGGAGTGAGAGACATTGAGTTTCCCACAAACAGTGATTGATGCAATGAGATACATGGAGTTTCCCAAAAACAGTGGTTGATGGAGTGAGCACAGGGTATGGAAGTTTTACTGTAATTGAACTGATACGATTAGGTGCCACGGGAGTTTCGATTACGTTCCGACGGATGGTGATTTAGCCCCAATTTCATTAAAAGTCAGATCTATTATTTCGGGTGGGTGGGGGCGCATAGCTGTGTGACTTTCAAGCAGAGAGGTAACGTATCGGAGTAAAAGATCTGGTTTCAATGAGATTGATGTCACACGGGAATAATACTTACCAAAACCGACACGTATGTGTCATTTGCCGTGGAGTTGCTAGCCGACGGTAACGAAGGAACGTCAACCGAGACCGTGACTTCAGTCGAGATGTTTTGCAGTTTTTTGTGTATCTCAGTTTCGGTCTTACTCAGGGATAACACGGCTGAAAGAATACAAATCAGTGTCGGGTATAACTGACTCGGCTATGAGAAGGCCATTTTGCACATCTTCGAGCAATTGCAATTAACACCGAGGTAATATTCCAGCTAAATCACGGCAGTCTCCAAACAAACCTATTAATAGCTATTAGGAGCAACGTCTCACGCCGTCTCAATCACCCAAGTCACCGAGCAAACCAAACGATCCGATTATCCTCTGCCGAAGGGTAACAAAGTGCTGGGGATCTATTCGTTTTTTGCCTCCTATCCTAGTTTTAGGCGACGGTTGGGGAATGTGTTAGGTTGTACGTAGGCATATGACCGACCAGCGATACCCTATCCGCTATTCGTACAATAAAATTTGACTTACACGTGGGAGATTAAAGGTGAGGTGAAATGGGGTTTAACGTTCGTTCAAGATAATATTGCACTTATAATAGCGACGTGCATGCACGTGTGTGTGGCTGCTTGTACTAGTTCAGAATAGTTTCATAGTTTTATAGTGTTAAATCACTCATATATCATGCCGCAGTTTAACATGTATACCCCACTCAGACACAGAATACCTACTCCGAGCCTACCAGTCCTTATTTCATCCCCTTAATGCCGGGCTCCACACAGGGTAACAACAAGCAGTTTCTTTACCGTCTTTTGTTACAACGAAACAAGGGAATCAAACCATCGACCTTCTGCTCTTCGGGATGATGCTCTATCCACTACACTATGAAGGTGATCTTTCTATTTTAGCATCTATCATCACAAGTGCCATTACTGCTGGTGACTGTTGTTTGATCTAGCCACCCCTACACCCAGTGCCACTACTGTTGGTGACTGTTGTACCCGTCTACATTCTCATGCACCTAGTGCCACTACTGCTAGTGACTGGTGTACCCGTCTACATTCTCATGCACCTAGTGCCGCTACTGCTGGTGACTGTTGTACCCGTCTACATTCTCATACACCCAGTACCGCTACTGCTGGTGTCTGTTGTACCCGTCTACATTCTCATGCACCCAGTACCGCTACTGTTGGTGACTGCTGTACCCGTCTACATTCTCATGCACCCAGTACCACTACTGCTGGTGACTGTTGTACCCGTCTACATTCTCAAGCACCCAGTACCACTACTGCTGGTGACTGTTGTACCCGTCTACCAACTCATGCACACAGTGCCACTACTGCTAGTGACTGGTGTACCCGTCTACATTCTCATACACACAGTACCGCTACTGCCGGTGACTGTTGTACCCGTCTACATTCTCATGCACCTAGTGCCGCTACTGCTGGTGATTGTTGTACCCGTCTACATTCTCATACACCCAGTACTGCTACTGCTGGTGACTGTTGTACCCGTCTTGCCACCCATACACCCAGTGTCACTACTGCTAGTGACAGTTGTACCCGTCTACCCACTCATACATCCAGTGTCACTACTGCTAGTGACTGTTGTACCCGTCTACATTCTCATACACCCAGTACCACTACCGCTGGTGACTGTTGTACCCGTCTACATTCTCATACACCCAGTACTACTACTGCTGGTGACTGTTGTACCCGTCTACATTCTCATACACCCAGTACCACTACTGCTGGTGACTGTTGTACCCGTCTACATTCTCATACACCCAGTACCACTACCGCCGGTGACTGTTGTACCCGTCTACATTCTCATGCACCTAGTGTCACTACTGCTGGTGACTGTTGTACCCGTCTACATTCTCATGCACCCAGTACCGCTACTGCTGGTGACTGTTGTACCCGTCTACATTCTCATGCACCCAGTACTACTACTGCTGGTGACTGTTGTACCCGTCTACATTCTCATGCACCTAGTGTCACTACTGCTGGTGACTGTTGTACCCGTCTACATTTTCAAGCACCCAGTGCGACTACTGCTGGTGACTGTTGTACCCGTCTACATTTTCAAGCACCCAGTGCGACTACTGCTGGTGACTGTTGTACCCGTCTACATTTTCAAGCACCCAGTGCGACTACCGCTGGTGACTGTTGTACCCGTCTACATTTTCAAGCACCCAGTGCGACTACTGCTGGTGACTGTTGTACCCGTCTACATTCTCATGCACCTAGTGCCGCTACTGCTGGTGACTGTTGTACCCGTCTACATTCTCATGCACCTAGTGTCACTACTGCTGGTGACTGTTGTACCCGTCTACATTTTCAAGCACCCAGTGCGACTACTGCTGGTGACTGTTGTACCCGTCTACATTTTCAAGCACCCAGTGCGACTACTGCTGGTGACTGTTGTACCCGTCTACATTTTCAAGCACCCAGTGCGACTACCGCTGGTGACTGTTGTACCCGTCTACATTCTCATACACCCAGTACCACTACTGCTGGTGACTGTTGTACCCGTCTACATTCTCATACACCCAGTACCACTACCGCCGGTGACTGTTGTACCCGTCTACATTCTCATGCACCTAGTGTCACTACTGCTGGTGACTGTTGTACCCGTCTACATTCTCATACACCCAGTACCACTACTGCTGGTGACTGTTGTACCCGTCTACATTCTCATACACCCAGTACCACTACCGCCGGTGACTGTTGTACCCGTCTACATTCTCATGCACCTAGTGTCACTACCGCTGGTGACTGTTGTACCCGTCTACATTCTCATACACCCAGTACCACTACTGCTGGTGACTGTTGTACCCGTCTACATTCTCATACACCCAGTACCACTACCGCCGGTGACTGTTGTACCCGTCTACATTCTCATGCACCTAGTGTCACTACTGCTGGTGACTGTTGTACCCGTCTACATTCTCATGCACCCAGTACCGCTACTGCTGGTGACTGTTGTACCCGTCTACATTCTCATGCACCCAGTACTACTACTGCTGGTGACTGTTGTACCCGTCTACATTCTCATGCACCTAGTGTCACTACTGCTGGTGACTGTTGTACCCGTCTACATTCTCAAGCACCTAGTGCGACTACTGCTGGTGACTGTTGTACCCGTCTACATTTTCAAGCACCCAGTGCGACTACTGCTGGTGACTGTTGTACCCGTCTACATTTTCAAGCACCCAGTGCGACTACTGCTGGTGACTGTTGTACCCGTCTACATTCTCATACACCCAGTACCACTACTGCTGGTGACTGTTGTACCCGTCTACATTCTCATACACCCAGTACCACTACCGCCGGTGACTGTTGTACCCGTCTACATTCTCATGCACCTAGTGTCACTACTGCTGGTGACTGTTGTACCCGTCTACATTCTCATGCACCCAGTACCGCTACTGCTGGTGACTGTTGTACCCGTCTACATTCTCATGCACCCAGTACTACTACTGCTGGTGACTGTTGTACCCGTCTACATTCTCATGCACCTAGTGTCACTACTGCTGGTGACTGTTGTACCCGTCTACATTCTCAAGCACCCAGTGCGACTACTGCTGGTGACTGTTGTACCCGTCTACATTCTCAAGCACCTAGTGCGACTACTGCTGGTGACTGTTGTACCCGTCTACATTTTCAAGCACCCAGTGCGACTACTGCTGGTGACTGTTGTACCCGTCTACATTTTCAAGCACCCAGTGCGACTACTGCTGGTGACTGTTGTACCCGTCTACATTTTCAAGCACCCAGTGCGACTACCGCTGGTGACTGTTGTACCCGTCTACATTTTCAAGCACCCAGTGCGACTACTGCTGGTGACTGTTGTACCCGTCTACATTCTCATGCACCTAGTGCCGCTACTGCTGGTGACTGTTGTACCCGTCTACATTCTCATGCACCTAGTGCCGCTACTGCTGGTGACTGTTGTACCCGTCTACATTCTCATACACCCAGTACTGCTACTGCTGGTGACTGTTGTACCCGTCTTGCCACCCATACACCCAGTGTCACTACTGCTAGTGACAGTTGTACCCGTCTACCCACTCATACACCCAGTGTCACTACTGCTAGTGACTGTTGTACCCGTCTACATTCTCATACACCCAGTGCGACTACCGCTGGTGACTGTTGTACCCGTCTACCAGCTCATACAAACAGGGTCACTACCGCCGGTGACTATTGTACTCGTCTACATTCTCATGCACCTAGTGCCGCTACTGCTGGTGACTGTTGTACCCGTCTACATTCTCATACACCCAGTACTGCTACTGCTGGTGACTGTTGTACCCGTCTACGAACTCATACACCCAGTGTCACTACTGCTAGTGACTGTTGTCCCGTCTACCAACTCATACACCCAGTGTCACTACTGCTAGTGACTGTTGTCCTGTCTACCAACTCATACACCCAGTGTCACTACTGCTAGTGACTGTTGTCCCGTCTACCAACTCATACACCCAGTGTCACTACTGCTGGTGACAGTTGTACCCGTCTACCAACTCATACACCCAGTGTCACTACTGCTGGTGACTGTTGAACCCGTCTACCCACTCATACACCCAGTGTCACTACTGCTAGTGACAGTTGTACCCGTCTACCAACTCATACACCCAGTGTCACTACTGCTGGTGACTGTTGTCCTGTCTACCAACTCATACACACAGTGTCACTACTGCTAGTGACTGTTGTACCCATCTACCAACTCATACACACAGTGTCACTACTCCTGGTGACTGTTATACCCGTCTACCCACTCATACACACAGTGTTACTACTGCTAGTGACTGTTGTCCCGTCTACCAACTCATACACCCAGTGTCACTACTCCTGGTGACTGTTGTCCCGTCTACCAACTCATACACCCAGTGTCACTACTCCTGGTGACTGTTGTCCCGTCTACCAACTCATACACCCAGTGTCACTACTCCTGGTGACTGTTGTCCCGTCTACCCACTCATACACCCAGTGTCACTACTGCTAGTGACAGTTGTACCCGTCTACCCACTCATACACCCAGTGTCACTACTGCTGGTGACTGGTGTCCTGTCTACCAACTCATACACACAGTGTCACTACTGCTAGTGACTGTTGTACCCGTCTACCAACTCATACACACAGTGTCACTACTGCTGGTGACTGTTGTCCCGTCTACCAACTCATACACCCAGTGTCACTACTCCTGGTGACTGTTGTCCCGTCTACCAACTCATACACCCAGTGTCACTACTGCTGGTGACTGTTGTCCCGTCTACCAACTCATACACCCAGTGTCACTACTCCTGGTGACTGTTGTCCCGTCTACCCACTCATACACCCAGTGTCACTACTGCTGGTTACTGTTGTCCCGTCTACCAACTCATACACCCAGTGCCACTACAGCTGGTGACTGTTGTACCCGTCTACCAACTCATACACCCTGTGTCACTGCTGCTGGTGACTGTTGTACCCGTCTACCAACTCATACACACAGTGTCACTACTGCTGGTGACTGTTGTCCTGTCTACCAACTCATACACACAGTGTCACTACTGCTGGTGACTGTTGTACCCGTCTACCAACTCATACACCCAGTGTCACTACTGCTAGTGACTGTTGTCCCGTCTACCAACTCATACACCCAGTGTCACTACTGCTAGTGACTGTTGTCCCGTCTACCAACTCATACACACAGTGTCACTACTGCTGGTGACTGTTGTACCCGTCTACCAACTCATACACCCAGTGTCACTACTGCTAGTGACTGTTGTCCCGTCTACCAACTCATACACACAGTGTCACTACTGCTGGTGACTGTTGTCCCGTCTACCAACTCATACACCCAGTGTCACAACTGCTGGTGACTGTTGTACCCGTCTACCAGCTCATACACCCAGTGTCACTACTGCTGGTGACTGTTGTCCCGTCTACCAACTCATGCACCCAGTGTCACTACTCCTGGTGACTGTTGTACCCGTCACTACTGCTAGTGACTGTTGTCCCGTCTACCAACTCATACACCCAGTGTCACTACTGCTAGTGACTGTTGTCCCGTCTACCAACTCATACACACAGTGTCACTACTGCTGGTGACTGTTGTCCCGTCTACCAACTCATACACACAGTGTCACTACTGCTGGTGACTGTTGTCCTGTCTACCAACTCATACACACAGTGTCACTACTGCTGGTGACTGTTGTACCCGTCTACCAACTCATACACCCAGTGTCACTACTGCTAGTGACTGTTGTCCCGTCTACCAACTCATACACCCAGTGTCACTACTGCTAGTGACTGTTGTCCCGTCTACCAACTCATACACACAGTGTCACTACTGCTGGTGACTGTTGTACCCGTCTACCAACTCATACACCCAGTGTCACTACTGCTAGTGACTGTTGTCCCGTCTACCAACTCATACACACAGTGTCACTACTGCTGGTGACTGTTGTCCCGTCTACCAACTCATACACCCAGTGTCACTACTGCTGGTGACTGTTGTACCCGTCTACCAGCTCATACACCCAGTGTCACTACTGCTGGTGACTGTTGTCCCGTCTACCAACTCATGCACCCAGTGTCACTACTCCTGGTGACTGTTGTACCCGTCTACCAACTCATACACCCAGTGTCACTACTCCTGGTGACTGTTGTCCCGTCTACCAACTCATACACCCAGTGTCACTACTCCTGGTGACTGTTGTACCCGTCTACCAACTCATACACCCAGTGTCACTACTCCTGGTGACTGTTGTCCCGTCTACCAACTCATACACCCAGTGTCACTACTGCTGGTGACTGTTGTACCCGTCTACCAACTCATACACCCAGTGTCACTACTCCTGGTGACAGTTGTCCCGTCTACCAACTCATACACCCAGTGTCACTACTCCTGGTGACTGTTGTCCCGTCTACCAACTCATACACCCAGTGTCACTACTGCTGGTGACTGTTGTACCCGTCTACCAACTCATACACCCAGTGTCACTACTGCTGGTGACTGTTGTACCCGTCTACCAACTCATACACACAGTGTCACTACTCCTGGTGACTGTTGTCCCGTCTACCAACTCATACACCCAGTGTCACTACTCCTGGTGACTGTTGTCCCGTCTACCAACTCATACACACAGTGTCACTACTGCTGGTGACTGTTGTACCCGTCTACCAACTCATACACCCAGTGTCACTACTGCTGGTGACTGTTGTCCCGTCTACCAACTCATACACCCAGTGTCACTACTGCTGGTGACTGTTGTACCCGTCTACCAACTCATACACCCAGTGTCACTACTGCTGGTGACTGTTGTACCCGTCTACCAACTCATACACCCAGTGTCACTACTGCTGGTGACTGTTGTACCCGTCTACCAGCTCATACACCCAGTGTCACTACTCCTGGTGACTGTTGTCCCGTCTACCAACTCATACACCCAGTGTCACTACTGCTGGTGACTGTTGTCCCGTCTACCAACTCATACACCCAGTGTCACTACTGCTGGTGACTGTTGTACCCGTCTACCAACTCATACACCCAGTGTCACTACTGCTGGTGACTGTTGTACCCGTCTACCAACTCATACACACAGTGTCACTACTCCTGGTGACTGTTGTCCCGTCTACCAACTCATACACCCAGTGTCACTACTCCTGGTGACTGTTGTCCCGTCTACCAACTCATACACACAGTGTCACTACTGCTGGTGACTGTTGTACCCGTCTACCAACTCATACACCCAGTGTCACTACTGCTGGTGACTGTTGTCCCGTCTACCAACTCATACACCCAGTGTCACTACTGCTGGTGACTGTTGTACCCGTCTACCAACTCATACACCCAGTGTCACTACTGCTGGTGACTGTTGTACCCGTCTACCAACTCATACACCCAGTGTCACTCCTGGCGCCTGCTGTGCATGTATATCCACCCAAAATGATATCTATAAACATTGAGTTGCTTGTGTGGTCAAGTGATGTAAAACGCTGCGATTTAATTGTGTAAAATTGCCCAGCTGCCAAGAAATATAAATTGTCGGTTCCTAAGGTTCACCATAATCTGAGCCAGGGATCCGCAGACCGTTTGATGCGTCTATGACGTTTGTCTTGTATTAACACAATAATCGTTTGAAGAAAGCAGTCAACGTCTACGACCTGTGTCACCTTGGGAATTTCCCCCACTCACTCACTGACTCACCTCTGCAGGCGCTGCGCTGTATCTCGTACAGGATTGTGTCTATCTCAGCGAAATTGTTCAGCAGGAAGTAGTGGGTGCAGTTCGGCTGTGTGGCCACGCTCATCAGCTCATCCGGGTTCACGCTTCCAATTCCAATACTAAAGAAAACGACACCCGCTTCTTTCGCTCTCTCTGCTGCGGCCCTCGTCTGTAAAGTACTGTCTGACCCACCATCAGTTAGTAAGATGGCTAATTTGGACGCCTGTGACCTCATCCCATTGGATGTCGTAAACACGCTCGACATCATCTCGTCTATACCACCAGCTGTGTTAGTACTCCCTCCAACATAGAAGATCCTGCAATATCACAAATATATAGTTTCGCCCAATATGTTCATCGTTGAACATGGTATAAATGAACGACTGAATAACGCTCGGGATTGTTGTAGGTATTTTGGTTTTATTGACCAAAGAGTTCCCCATGTGTACACACTATGATTTGGTTTTTTTAAGATTTGATAGCCTTTCGTTCACTGAAGATATGTGGATTTGCCAAAACCCAAGACATTATGCTTGTAAAGTGTAAAGGCAAATGAGAAGTTGTAGTTGTAGAAGAACAACTTTTACGAAATAAAAAATATTCTGGCACCCCCAACTGCAGCAAATAAGCCAGGGCTACCGTTGTGAAAAACATAATTAATTCGAGAAAGTACAGGGAAACATTGGCTTCAGACCTCAGTCCCTAAGAGTGTTCTGAAATAATATGTGTTGTGGATATAGTACAAAATGAAAAGCTCCTTCCAAAGTAAAACGGGGTGGTCGGATAGCCAAGTGGTTAAAGCGTTAGCTCGTCACGCCGAAGACCCGGGTTCGATTCCCGACAACGGTACAATGTGTAAAGCCCATTTCTGGTGTCCCCCGCCGTGATATTGCTAGAATATTGCTAAAAGCGGCGTAAAAACATTCTCACTCACTCACTCCAAAGTAAAACACGCTTGTCGTGAAGCAGCCACGACAACATATTTTGTCCCTTCGAAAAATTATACGTTCAATAACCTTCCTTAACATATTTCACAGCACCCTCGGTCATCCATTTCAATTCCATTATGATTAATACCGTGGACCTATTCGCCACTTAAGCTTCGTTTTGAGTTCCAAAATAGCCATCCATTTACATTACACGACATTTGTTACAAGAAGTACTCTCCTCGTGTTATTGTGTACCGTCTAATATACAACTGAACGCCACCCCTCCCATCATAATACTCAGGAAAACAGTTTTTCCAGCAAGAAGTTCATTCTGATCCATGAAACATATCGAGGGATCGCTCGAAACATGTATGAGGTGTATGCCAAACTCTCGTATGGAAGATTCATTTTGATTGGTTGTTGATGTCAAGCTTATGCGCGAAATCCTGTGGTTGGTTAGGGATACAGTAGACAGAGGTCGTGACGTCACTTCCGCAACGAAGCTGAGGTGCCGTATGAGGCCATGTTATATGAATCAGAACGGAATAACGATTTGATAATAATAATAATAATAAAAATAATGGATAATCGGGAATAGTTTCACAGGATCAGGTGTTCGGCTTCAAGCATATGGATAGACGAAAGGTGTTTTTTCTTGCCTATGGATATTTCTGACAATGTCATCGGTGTCGTAGTATTCATTGAGGCGGAATACGACCGATGGCGAGGAACTGAAGCGGACGATGGCGACGTGTGTCCCTGCACGACTCACACCCAGGCCCTCCACCACCTGCTGCAGGAAGCCCAGCATTACACTGAAGTCAGATGATCCGATACTGCCCGAACTGTCCACCAGGAAAGTCACATCCAACTCTGCGTCGCAGGATTCTAAACACACATAAGTCCTTGCATTAAAAAAATACAATTTTCTACAAGAAGTACAAAAAGAAACTACACCGCTCGGTTGATTTTATCATATGTTTGATTCTCAATTGGAAAGATCTAAGTTTGCGATATAATATCCAAAAATTAACTATACTGACTCTTTGTAAGAACTCAAAGAATACTTCTACAGTTGCATATTTTCTAAAATATATTTTGATTTACAAACTCTGAAAATTAATAGACATGTTGCGCACTGTTGATCCGTGTCTTAGGCTTCATGTTCATTGAATCAATCTTTTTTTACACGAAATTACCCAGCCACGGATTGCTTTTTACAAATTGTTGCAGGAATGACTGATGCCATCGTCTATATCTCTTGGGCTCTCAATTCAGTAAACCTACACTGGATCGATTACTGGGGTTCTCGCGATTTCAAAGTACCAATCCTTGATTTTCAATTTGACATTACCGACCAATCAAATATCGGGATAAGGAAAATGGAAGTGGGTTAGTGACTTGCGTAGGTCGTGTCAATGGACACGAAGACATCCTTTCCATCAAAATGATTTATGAGGGCTTTCTTTGCTTGTCAGTCAGTTTTCAATGTTAAATTTTTCGCAAACTCTATCGTACTCGATGATACCAACCGCCAGGTTGTTGATATCGCCAACCCAACATTGGCGAGTTTGTAACTCGCATTCTGATTGGTCCGTTAGACTGAGTAGCAAATCAAATTAGCTATGAAAATCAAGGGCAGATAATTTGAGATCGCGAAAACGACGGGAATGGATACAGGGTTTGGTGTAGGTTTACAAAAATGCTGTAGATATAGAAGATGAAGTGATGGTTAAATAGTGACAGTTCTTTCAATTTATGTAGAAATGTAGAAAACAAACTCGGTATACTTTGTTTTGCCCCTTAGTTTATTTATAGGGACCAAAACCAGGCCAAGATTTTTTTCCATCACCGATGGTCCAAATAAAATCCTGTACAATGCATTTATCAGAGTCCGTATGTAATCCACAAAAACAAAATTACTAAACACTTCATTGTCGAAATTACAGATTGGCTGGACTGCCACTATCTTCCGTAGGAATTGCGGGTCTTGGTCTGGTTATGCAAATCTTGGACTTTCACCACTTTTTAAAAAAAACCCAAAGAGTTTGGGAATAGTGCTGACAAACACTGAAGCACTATCAAGGCGAATCTTGGATTCGGACCCACGATCATATATTTCTGGCACCTTAAAGGGCAGAAATCTTGCCGTCAGTTGGTTTGTTGTTTAACGCCGCACTCAGAAATATTCCAGCTATATGACGGCGGTCTGTAAATAAATCGAGTCTGGACCAGACAATCCAGTGATTGACATCATGAGCATCGATCCACGCAATTGGGATCGATGACATACATCAACCACCGTCACATGTACAATACATTGAACATACGTGTAAAAAAGTTCGCTATACCCATACTGTCATCGAAACTCCTTATTCACACACACTTTATTCAGTGATTTTTGTACAAACGAAATACAAGTTAGGTGCAAACAGTATATTCGAATACAACATATTTCTTTGTTTTTCTAATGATAGCAATTTTAACATAATTGCATGTTATCAAAGTTGGAGTATTTGTGTACTAACAGCATTGGCATAAAACAAGTACTTTGCTGTATTCATATTGGATAAAGGCTCCTGCGATGACAAAATTTAGATTTTATGTAACTTTGCCTTAGATGGCTACACGCTGGACAAATTAACAAAAAGTTTTATCCTTTTTCTATATGGTGTAAGCTACAAACTTTACATTTTCTAAATTCACGAAGAATATAATTGTCGTCCACGTTCAACTTCTAAATTGTTAGAACTAAGCCGACTAGTCAATGTGGTACTTAAATTATTAACAGTGATACTACTCAAATAGTTCTCACATAAAACGGATGTTCTAAAACTGTGCATACTAACACATTTGGGGACTTTCGGATAAATCACTGTGCCAAACCTGTAAAAAAGTTATCTTTTAACCGTTGCCGTAACATGTTTAGTAATACGGTTTTATTACCACATGTTTGAAAGAGCCAGACATTACCAAATCCTAATCTAAATATAACAACTTTAAGTTTCTTTACCAAATTAACGTGGCCTTGGTCATCGAACAAACGTAAGATATAACAACAGTTTTTGGTAAACGAGATTCCTGCATATGGATAAGAGACAGCCAATATTTCAAAACATCAAGCGACAAAATAGAATAAACTCGTATACCACACTCGTCTAACACCTAAAAAGCACTTACAGCCATTCAAGTGAACATTTTGTAATGGTTCTATGTCACTGAACCCCAAATTTCTGCCCCGTATAAAAGTATTGGTATTATCTCTGCATCAAATAATTTGAAGTAAAGGTGAGGCGAGTATGTTTACAGGGAATGTATACTGCTTTACAAGACTATGAACATCTTTCTTGTCTGAATTGCTATATTCTTTGTAGCTTTTGACCACGGTAATCTCTTGCTAAAATGCAAGACAAGATAACTATATCCAGTAGTCAACTACTAATTTTGTTTTCGTTAGATCATCATGGAATATATCTAACTTTATTTGTAAGTTGTTGACAGTATTGTCAAACTAAATAAGGTCATCAACGAAAAGAAGTAGAAAAATATCAATAACAATAACTGAACACCAAAACGACAAAATTTCAACTTGAGTAACCAATTAGTTCATTAAAAAAACTGAAACAGAATGTACTAAGCGTACACCCTTGCCTCACACCTATGAGGCAAGGGTACTCTATTCTACTCTACAAATACTCTATTGTTTGAACGAACACATGCCTTTGCATCACTGTAAATTAATAGTATCAATTTACCCATTTTAGTACTCAAACCGTGTTTGTAGAATAGCTTCCATAGAAGAAGAAGCTGGACTCTAACATACCTGTTACCACGAGGGAGGAGAAGTTGGCAACTGGAGGTTTTGGATGGTATATGTTTTTCCAAATCTGGCTTTGGGCATCCACGCTCCCTGGAATTATGTCGTCATCTTGCCGCAGCTGGATGTAGAGGGAAGCAGCTAGACCAGAATATAGCGGTTTTAAGAGATCCCGCCATTGAACCTGACTCCAGTCAATGCGGAATTTGATCTGGATCTGGTTGCAGACGTGTCGGATGGATGCGGGACATGCAGTGGTAGCTTTAAACATAGACTCATCTACCTGTTGCAATGAAAGGAGTTAATGAATGGGATTTAACGCTGCTTTAAACAGTATTCCAGTTCAGTTGGAGGACAGGTCAATGTATTGAAGGCTGTTTCACCCCCCTACAGTAACATCAGTTTTGTTTCTTGTTTAACGCCGCACAATATTCCACCTATATGACGGCGGTCTGTACATAATCGAGGTCTGGACATAAAAATTCAGGGTACGATGACATGCATCAGCCAAGTAAGCGACCCAACCACCTGATACCGCCTCTATTGCCACAAGCATAGTTTGCTCGAAGACCCGTTCTAACCCAGGGTTCACCTCTGTCAAAAGTTTCCATGTCATTTCATGGTATGTATCTTTAACTGACCTGCCAAATACCGCCATAATATCCGCTTCTGTACGTCTTGGAGTCAAGGCCATCCCTGGACTCGACAAAGGCTAATCGTCTCAGAAAAAGCCTGTCCTTGGGGAAGATACAGCCATCTCGAATTTGGTCAATAGTTGCTTGGACAACATTCGTGCCCCTCTGATTGTCCAGTCTGGTCAAGTCTATGTCCGCTACAACTCCCACCCCAAACCAGAGCAACACCGTAACACACACCGCCCTCATCCTCGCCATCTCCTACCTATCTGGCACCGGAGACAATAGGTTTCAGCAGCCGTTATCAACTCCTTGTCAAAGCGCATGCGTAATAAGTTCAAGTACATATTGTTTTCCAATATTGCGATAACCTCGTGGTGTCACCTTCAACCGGGAAGTTGCATTATCATTTGAAGGGCTCTCGTCCTCAGATTCCAGACTTGAATGTATGGGTTGGGTAAGATTAAGACGTTGCATGCGTGTTATCAAATTCAATGCATAAACTATTAAAGCTAGATGGTCGACACTTCAAACAGGAAGTCCGTCCAGCCTAGGTCCTGTACAGTAAGGAATGGGTCAGTTCACACTGAAGGCCGAGGTAGGACAAGAGCCCTTAGTTCTTGGAAGTTCTTTGTAATAATGATATGAAAGTTATCAGACATGTTTATATGGTTCACAACTCGCCATTATTTTTCTTCCATACACTTGCAAGTTGTTATCTTCTGGCATGTCCAAATAGACAAGAATGGCTGAAATGAGCGTAAATGGCCAATATTTCCCACCTTAACTATGAGTTAAGTACACTGTTTGTACGTCTAGAAATAGACGTACAGGTCGAATCTGGGATTCGAACCCATGATCATAGGTTTCTGGGCCGCCTTAGGGACGCAACTCTGCACAACAAATTGCGGCGCCTTTAATGACTTGATCCCGGCGCCGGTCGAACAATCCTCACTATTGTTACTCTTTTAGTTTACGGGAAAATGTCGCTGAGCCTACTAGTCACACAAGGTCAAGGTTGAAAATTGAATTAACGTGATCGAATTACGGACATTCGTACTTATACATCTACACACGACAGCCACGTCATTCAGTGAGTGAATGTTGAAGCACGACGTTGTCAGTAATATTTCAATGTACCAAAGAATCTTGTAAATAATCCAACCATGACCAGGCAATCAAGTGGTTGATAGTATGAGCAACGTCCCACACCGTCGGAGTACGATAACAGCAATCAACCCATCAACCTGACCGCCGGATCCAGATCGCCTCTGACGACAACACAGATCACTCAGTTCAATTCTGGCCACAATCCTCACGGAGTTATTGAAGCAGAACCTGTATAGTGTGGAAGAAAATGAAGCGTAAACGCTTTTTGCATGATAGCTCTAATACCATGAACCTAACCAGTGTTTGCTTAATTGCCCAACCTTCCTTATCGCAGCATTCGCGATTCACTGCTTTTTAACAGACAATTTTACCGACAACAAAAACTTTTAATTATGTGAGTAAATAAGAGTGTTTATGCATGATTCTAGACAATATGGATGACTAGATATTTGAGCTGACATGCAAAATACGGGTTGAGCTTCATTAAGTAGCAAACTTAAGTTGAGTGTTTTCATTATCAGTAACTTTGCCCAAACTATTTGACAGGGCTGATACTAAATATTCTCCTGGCTTGATCTCCTCGCGAAACGAGTCCGACGTTTAGTGTACTTCAGTCAGATCGTATGATATTGAAGACAGTGGCTATCTGTTCAGTGTCGCAGTGTCACGATTAGATAGTATGATAGATGAGTAATGTCTTTGTCAGATTGTGGTCCTATAACGACTACTGAAACATACTGTTATTCGACACATACTATTTACGACACATACTGTTTACTCAGATGGTATATCGTTCATATTTCCACGTTATAATGTCCCCGGCAATCCATACTTGTCGAAATAGATCAAATAGTCGGGCTCGGCGGCTGCCTGAATGCGGGTCATCGTGCCCTAACGGCGTGGCAGGTTGCTCATCATATCAATCATCGGTTCGTCTGGTTCCATCATTTACATACAGTCGTCGTATAGCTGGACTGTTGCTGAGAGCGACGTTGAACAACATATATTACAGTTGCTCATTTACCCGGTTCGGATTGCCCTGATACAGCTGAAATATTGCTGACTGCGTCGTAAATCAACATTCACTCACTCACGCTAGTGTTCAAAGTGGCGTTAAACCCACTCTCTTCCCCTTATTCGTCCTGTGGAAAATACTTCTGTCCGTTCATTGAAGCACAGCATGAAAAGTCAACCTTTGGATGGGGATTAAGTACAATCCAATTTCTAGGGGCCCTATGGACAAGGAAGCACGGCCCTATCACAAATTTGGGATAGCACGAATTACAGTATAATGCAGACAGTTAATACAGTTTGCCAATTCAAAAGAAACATATTGAAAGGATAATATATGTTAAACTGAAAAACAGAAAACGGGGTCCAAGATTCTTCTCTAACGTCTTTGCGGACAAATTGTTTTCCCAAGAAGTTTTAATGGAAAGGATATTGGCTTGGGACCCTAATATATGTCCAAATCTGTCACGATCCAAAGAACCCGTTGTCAAACCCAGAACGGGTCGCAGAAACGCAACACCTTCCAAGGTTTAAATGTCACGAGAGAGGTCATGACTTTCAAATAGTCCGTAACGAAACGGAATCCTCTCTTGCCCTGTCCTATCCCATCTGGCTGTTAACTGTTAAAAGGTGATTGGCAGTCCAAAACATTAAGAGTTGTCCCCAGCATTTCTCCAGCACAGATAACTTTCAAAATATAAGATGTCCCTTTAAAAGCACAATGCCCCGAATGTACACTCTTCAAAAGAAGAAACGCACAGGTCGATTTTTAGTACATTTATTGTACCTTATAAAGTCGATATATTTAATTTAATATCATAGATACAAATATGAAATTTTGGAGCTCGATAGTCACATGTTGTCGCTGTACAAAGGCATTGAGAACTGTTCATTGTCACGTCACATAAGGCCACAAGGTTGCGCTGAACTCAGTATCTCGTGTGAACGCGGGCAGCAAACACTCGGCATCCCCTCGGCACTGACGCGATAAGTGTACGAATTCATTTTCCAATAACATATATCCAATTTATATACCGGATTGTTTGTGTAGTCAGGTATAATGAACTACATAGTACCTGTACGTTTCTTTTTTTGAAGACAGTATCTCGTGTGAACGCCCCGGGCAGCAATCACCGCTCTGCATCTCCTCGGTACTGACTGGATAAGTGTACGAATTCTGTCCTAGAGAATTCTGCGCCATTCTGCTTGTAACGCCTTTGCCAGTTGTGGTAGTGTCTGCGGCGTACACGTCGATCGTGTTCATCCCAGAGATGTTCGATTGGGTTCAGTTCTGGAGATCTCGACGGCCAGGACAAGAACTTGATGTTGGCATGATGTAGGTAGTCTACCGTGACTCGAGCTGTGTGTGGTGGAGCGTTGTCCTGTTGAAACAGGCCCATCTGGTGGTGAGAAGGTGAGGTTGAAGAATTTGATTCATGTACAAATTTGCTGTCAAATTTCCCTGAACCACAACCATATCAGATCTTGTGTTGTGGGAAATGCCCCACCACACCATGACACTACCACCCCGATACAGTCGATTTCACGTACACAATGTGGGGCAAAACGCTCATTTCGACGACGATAAACACGTTGTCTTCCATCTCGCCGGTGAAGATGAAATCGTGAATCATCGCTAAACCACACTCGTCTCCAGTTTCTTAAATTCCAAGGCTGTAAGGTATGGCACCAACGCAAGCGTCACTGTCGATAGATCTGTTGCAAATCAGGGACGATAACTGGGCTTCTGGTTCGGATTACAGCCTCGCGAAGATCATTCCTGACAGTCTGGTCCGATATCCTCCTCAAACCAGGGATGCGTCTCTGTAGCTGTTGCATTGCGATGACGTAGATGGAACAGTCGAATGTAGCGATCCTGTGCAGGGGTGATAACTCTTGGTCGGCCGGTTCTCGGACGGTCTGCAGTGGAATTGATCTGTGGGTATCGGCCCCGAAGGCGGCAAATGATGCTGTTGTGGATGTTGAAGAGGCTTGCAACAGAAGACTGCAATTTCCCTCTACGTATACGTCATATGGCGATGTTCCGATCGGCAGCGCTGAGTCTCGGCATTTTCGAACTTGAAAAATGTTGACAATTGAATGACAAATTATTGGCTTATGCTTGCCTTTTTATAGCCACTACCGCGAGTTACGAATGCCATAATTTGCACGCACATTTTGCTTTACTGTTTGAACAAGTGTGAAAACAATGCCGTTTAAGACATTGCAAGTCGACAATGGCTGCGTTTTGACGTGAAATATCAAGTGTTGTGTTCACTTGAATGAAAATATCACTGTTCTCCACTTCAGAAAACTCTGACACACACTGAGGTCTCACACTAAGGCATATAATAAATACATAATTTATAGTCTTTTTATCAGTGTTATATGTATGGAACATATACTTGATACAATTCATGATATGAATCATGACTCTCATAACCTAATCAATGGCTTTTGTAATCTTTTCTTGTTCTCAACAATGTTGTATATTTTATGTACAAAGGGTGAGACATTATTACACAAATGTTCTCTGTCTGTGTTCAAATTACATCACGGCGTGTCAGCTAAATGTGGGAGGAAAGCCAGAAGTGATGCAGGTTTTGGACGTTTACCACTTCTGTGAAACCCGCGAGCACGGTCACGGAGGTGGTGCTGACAGACAAAGGATGATAATCATGTCGTATATTTGAACCTACACTATCTAACCGAAACAGCGTCCAAAATGGCAGCAACAAATAATGAAGGATTCCTGATCACAAACTTACAACGATGACAAACAAACGGGATTCCCCCGTCGTGCATGCACGCCCATGTGACCAGACAGGTCCAGTAGGACATAGTTACCATGTGACCAGACAGGTCCAGTAGGACATAGTTACCATGTGACCAGACAGATCCAGTAGGACATAGTTACCATGTGACCAGACAGGTCCAGTAGGACATAGTTACCATGTGACCAGACAGGTCCAGTAGGACATAGTTACCATGTGACCAGACAGGTCCAGTAGGACATAGTTACCATGTGACCAGACAGGTCCAGTAGTACATAGTTACCATGTGACCAGACAGGTCCAGTAGGACATAGTTACCATGTGACCAGACAGGTCCAGTAGGACATAGTTACCATGTGACCAGACAGGTCCAGTAGGACATAGTTACCATGTGACCAGACAGGTCCAGTAGGACATAGTTACCATGTGACCAGACAGGTCCAGTAGGACATAGTTACCATGTGACCAGACAGGTCCAGTAGGACATAGTTACCATGTGACCAGACAGGTCCAGTAGGACATAGTTACCATGTGACCAGACAGGTCCAGTAGTACATAGTTACCATGTGACCAGACAGGTCCAGTAGGACATAGTTACCATGTGACCAGACAGGTCCAGTAGGACATAGTTACCATGTGACCAGACAGGTCCAGTAGGACATAGTTACCATGTGACCAGACAGGTCCAGTAGGACATAGTTACCATGTGACCAGACAGGTCCAGTAGTACATAGTTACCATGTGACCAGACAGATCCAGTAGGACATAGTTACCATGTGACCAGACAGGTCCAGTAGGACATAGTTACCATGTGACCAGACAGGTCCAGTAGTACATAGTTACCATGTGACCAGACAGGTCCAGTAGGACATAGTTACCATGTGACCAGACAGGTCCAGTAGGACATAGTTACCATGTGACCAGACAGGTCCAGTAGGACATAGTTACCATGTGACCAGACAGATCCAGTAGGACATAGTTACCATGTGACCAGACAGGTCCAGTAGGACATAGTTACCATGTGACCAGACAGATCCAGTAGGACATAGTTACCATGTGACCAGACAGGTCCAGTAGGACATAGTTACCATGTGACCAGACAGGTCCAGTAGGACATAGTTACCATGTGACCAGACAGGTCCAGTAGGACATAGTTACCATGTGACCAGACAGGTCCAGTAGGACATAGTTACCATGTGACCAGACAGGTCCAGTAGTACATAGTTACCATGTGACCAGACAGGCCCAGTAGGACATAGTTACCATGTGACCAGACAGGTCCAGTGGGACATAGTTACCATGTGACCAGACAGGCCCAGTAGGACATAGTTACCATGTGACCAGACAGGTCCAGTAGGACATAGTTACCATGTGACCAGACAGATCCAGTAGGACATAGTTACCATGTGACCAGACAGGTCCAGTAGTACATAGTTACCATGTGACCAGACAGGTCCAGTAGGACATAGTTACCATGTGACCAGACAGGTCCAGTAGGACATAGTTACCATGTGACCAGACAGATCCAGTAGGACATAGTTACCATGTGACCAGACAGGTCCAGTAGTACATAGTTACCATGTGACCAGACAGGTCCAGTAGGACATAGTTACCATGTGACCAGACAGGTCCAGTAGGACATAGTTACCATGTGACCAGACAGATCCAGTAGGACATAGTTACCATGTGACCAGACAGGTCCAGTAGGACATAGTTACCATGTGACCAGACAGGTCCAGTAGGACATAGTTACCATGTGACCAGACAGGTCCAGTAGGACATAGTTACCATGTGACCAGACAGGTCCAGTAGGACATAGTTACCATGTGACCAGACAGGTCCAGTAGGACATAGTTACCATGTGACCAGACAGGTCCAGTAGGACATAGTTACCATGTGACCAGACAGATCCAGTAGGACATAGTTACCATGTGACCAGACAGGTCCAGTAGGACATAGTTACCATGTGACCAGACAGGTCCAGTAGTACATAGTTACCATGTGACCAGACAGGTCCAGTAGGACATAGTTACCATGTGACCAGACAGATCCAGTAGGACATAGTTACCATGTGTGACCAGACAGGTCCAGTAGGACATAGTTACCATGTGACCAGACAGGTCCAGTAGGACATAGTTACCATGTGACCAGACAGGTCCAGTAGGACATAGTTACCATGTGACCAGACAGGTCCAGTAGGACATAGTTACCATGTGACCAGACAGGTCCAGTAGGACATAGTTACCATGTGACCAGACAGGTCCAGTAGGACATAGTTACCATGTGACCAGACAGGTCCAGTAGGACATAGTTACCATGTGACCAGACAGGTCCAGTAGGACATAGTTACCATGTGACCAGACAGGTCCAGTAGGACATAGTTACCATGTGACCAGACAGGTCCAGGAGGACATAGTTACCATGTGACCAGACAGGTCCAGTAGGACATAGTTACCATGTGACCAGACAGGTCCAGTAGTACATAGTTACCATGTGACCAGACAGGTCCAGTAGGACATAGTTACCATGTGACCAGACAGGTCCAGTAGTACATAGTTACCATGTGACCAGACAGGTCCAGTAGGACATAGTTACCATGTGACCAGACAGGTCCAGTAGGACATAGTTACCTGGTGGCCAGACAGGTCCAGTAGGACATAGTTACCATGTGACCAGACAGGTCCAGTAGGACATAGTTACCATGTGACCAGACAGGTCCAGTAGGACATAGTTACCATGTGACCAGACAGGTCCAGTAGGACATAGTTACCATGTGACCAGACAGGTCCAGTAGGACATAGTTACCATGTGACCAGACAGGTCCAGTAGGACATAGTTACCATGTGACCAGACAGGTCCAGTAGGACATAGTTACCTGGTGGCCAGACAGGTCCAGTAGGACATAGTTACCATGTGACCAGACAGGTCCAGTAGGACATAGTTACCATGTGACCAGACAGATCCAGTAGGACATAGTTACCATGTGACCAGACAGGTCCAGTAGGACATAGTTACCTGGTGGCCAGACAGGTCCAGTAGGACATAGTTACCATGTGACCAGACAGGTCCAGTAGGACATAGTTACCATGTGACCAGACAGATCCAGTAGGACATAGTTACCATGTGACCAGACAGGTCCAGTAGTACATAGTTACCATGTGACCAGACAGGTCCAGGAGGACATAGTTACCATGTGACCAGACAGGTCCAGTAGGACATAGTTACCATGTGACCAGACAGGTCCAGTAGTACATAGTTACCATGTGACCAGACAGGTCCAGTAGGACATAGTTACCATGTGACCAGACAGGTCCAGTAGGACATAGTTACCATGTGACCAGACAGATCCAGTAGGACATAGTTACCTGGCGGCCAGACAGGTCCAGGAGGACATAGTTACCATGTGACCAGACAGGTCCAGTAGGACATAGTTACCATGTGACCAGACTTGTCCAGTAGGACATAGTTACCTGGCGGCCTTCGAGAAGTCGGTAGATGAAGCGTTCAAGCTGATTTGTTTAATTTATGTTTTGGCCTTCAATGATAAAAAAGTAGTTCAAAATAGAATCACGCAATCGAAAATTCTTTATTTTTTAAAATAACCTCATTTGGTGAGTACCTTTTGCTTTCAAGTTTGTTATCATATTCGTTATTATCATTTCGAACATCCAATCACTATCTGTTCAAATGTAACGCCTTCATAAATCATATTTCTAAACCTCTTTCAGCTAATTATTATGAATTATCTAACCTGTATGAATATACGCCTATAAAAAGGCTAAGTAAGGACAGATTAACTGTAGTAATATGAAAGAATCGGGTGCTTCGTAACTTCTTTTGAGTAGTATATAATTATGATGCCCCGAATAATCACGTCTACTGAAGAGTTTTTGTATGGCGATTGGGTCCACACTTTAACAAACAGACAGACAGGCTTGCTCAGTAAAAGGCATTTGGCCCAAAATACATGCCATGACAGATTAACTATAGTTATATGAAGACATCGGGGGGTTAACTCAGTTTAAAATAAACTCTTGTCCGCTAGAAATATGTTTCCATGTTTAATAAACCAGTCCAAATGTATTGCAGTTCCACATCGTCTTATTAGAACTGAATGTAAAACGTCATCGCCATTGCGATCGTGGTGATTTGAGAATAAAGACTAGAATTGAATAGAAATGCCATCTTGGGCACTGGTTTTGTCTGACTGTTTGATGAGCATTCTAGAAGTAGTGAGTAAATAAGAAAACGTACAGCCATGTGCATAACAACTTCTGGTTTATTGCATATAGACGCTTGTCCATGTAGATTCTTACACCGTTATCAAGCTGGAGTGACAACAACCCCAAGTGATGAGAGGTATACATGCATGACACCTTGTGATAAGCAGATAAACATTGACAACAACAGGTAATAGATAACAAGTAGCATACAGATAATTGGATAAAGCCAGATCTAACAAGAATAACAAATAGCACATAGGTAATGTAGCCAGATGTACAATGAGGATAACAAATAGCAGATAGGTAATGTAGCCAGATGTACAATGAGGATAAGGGTTAAAAGGATTTGAAACGTTGTTCCAAGTTATGCGCATTGTATACTAATAAATAAAAGTCTATTTCTTGATTAGATCTTCATAGGCAGTATTCATTAATTATTGCCAGGCATTATATCAATCTGCAATGAATATCGAAGCATTGGGACATTCATTTCGCCGGGTAATTTTACAGTGCAATATCACCGAGTACAATGCCGCTCAGACAACCACAATGGCCGAATCTTGATCGATCACTGTAAACATAACATAATATCAATTAAACAATCATTAAATGATTATTTATATTATTTGATCAATACTGAATATTCCTCGCCAGCACATGACAAGAATCTACTCAATTTTAGCATCGTTTAAAAAAACACATCAGTTGTTTCCGTTTTCGGTTAGAGAAAGGAATGAGTAATATGGAATAATACCATCAACCGACGAAATGGTGAGAAGGTTGCCTGATGCTCTAAATCATTTGTAAACAAATTTAACATTCAATGAACTCTTTTTTCTATTGGTGATTTATAAAAAAAAACAAATTACATGCATCAAATGATACTAAAATAATATCACAATTGTAGGAAATCCTAGGCCGTAGGCAGCCTACTTCACTCTATCTCATCCCCATCGCGCTCAATCACACCCCCATCTCTCCCTGACCTCATCGGAACTTCACATACCATTTTACTCCTCATTTAATCCCATCCCACCTCACCCCATCCTCACCTTGTTCCCTGTCATGAAACCGATAGCCCATGGTATTCACATTCCCCTCTGTTAACCCCATCCACGTTCCATTCCATGAACCCAATAGTCCCTGGATCTCACATTCCCCTCTGTTAACCCCATCCACGTTCCATTCCATGAACCCAAAAGGCCCTGGCACTCACATTCCCCTCTGTTAACCCCATCCACGTTCCATTCCATGAACCCAAAAGGCCCTGGCACTCACATTCCCCTCTGTTAACCTCACCCATGTTCCATTCCATGAACCCAATAGTCCCTGGATCTCACATTCCCCTCTGTTAACCCCATCCACGTTCCATTCCATGAACCCAAAAGGCCCTGGCACTCACATTCCCCTCTGTTAACCTCACCCATGTTCCATTCCATGAACCCAAAAGGCCCTGGCACTCACATTCCCCTCTGTTAACCCCATCCACGTTCCATTCCATGAACCCAATAGTCCCTGGATCTCACATTCCCCTCTGTTAACCCCATCCATGTTCCATTCCATGAACCCAATAGGCCCTGGCACTCACTTTCTTCTCTGTTAACTGTCAAGGTCAGGCCCGGCCCCTTGATGTAGCAGTACCCACATAATCCTCCACAAATCACCTTGATATTGGACGAAGATGAAGCCTTGAAAGATATGTTGGTATCGTTGGATGCTCTCCACGATGTCTGTAGGATAGACAGTAGGGATTGAGTGAACAGTGATGTTGGTCTCATATGATAATGGGATCTATGATAATGGGATCCTTGCGTGGCTGAGGGATGCAACTCTGCCACAGCGAATTACGTCGCTTTAGACCTCTAGGTACCATCGTCACCCCAGACAAACAGCCGTAGAACTGCATGTAATCACACACATGAACAAGATAAAAGGGTCTTCTGACTGACAAAACTGAGGCTAAAAAGACTACAAGCAAGCTTTACGCGTAACCATAACACATGGTATTGCTGACACCTGGTGTCTCAAGTATCTTTCAAGGAGACGATGATAAAGTAGAGACAATTTATGGATAACAACTTCTTTATTTTTTTTATTTTTTATATATATAGCAGGTGGAGGATTAACGGTTACGACAACTGCTGACATCACCGACTGCCCAAATCACAACATCAACTGGGAAAACGTCCAAATCTTCTCCAACAACCACCATGACTTCAAAAAAAAGAAAACTAACAGAAGCAGTCCGCATTCGCCGCCACAAGCCACCAATCAACAGAGATCAAGGTTATGTTGCCATCCGTCCACTATGACTTAAGTAAGTAATAATCACACTTAATCTTCTTCAGTTGGCTTCCTGTTCAAGTGTTCCCTGTCCATCATGTTTCAGTATTATCCTTCTGTTGTCATTGTTTAACCTACTCACGTTTATCTCCCTTTACAATAATTCTGTACCATGCTCATCCTTCAGCCTTGCTTGACAACGAAGAAGGATCTATACCGATCTTAACAGTAAATAAAGAAGTTGTTATCCATACATTGTGTCTACTTTGTCATCCGTCAACATCTAAGTAATGCCTATCAAACAATTGGAGAAGATGATGACGCTACTCCTTAAGAAATCTCCTTCACTGACCTTGCCATAGGTCCTCAGTCCTGTACCATCAAAGTTAATGTGAAATGATCCAACAGGTCCACATGGACCCTTCTGGGTTGGCGACTGAGGGGAGTAACAATCTCCTGCTGCTCCATAGGGATACCGCTTGCCCGTCCAGTTCGCAAAGGTGTAGTCGTAGTTGTGTGTCACAACTCTCTGAAAACGGGTATGTAGGGTATGTATGAAGGTCCATTGATTCGAGGCTGAGGCGGGGAGACCTACGGGGCCCTGTGAGTTTAGGTGATGATAACTAGGTTAACGAAAAGACGAAGCCCTATGGCTCCCTAAACTCACGTGAAAGGGACCGGTTATATATTGCTACCCTATCGACCACGCAACACGAAAGCAGCACTGCGCAGCGCGTCGGCATAAATAAATAGAAGCCCAGACTAACGCAGCGCGTCAGCTCAAGAAGTGATTGTTGCTGCCTGCTGCCTTGTCGCACAGAGGATAATATCATGGACCCAGCCTCTTCGTTTTATTTTCAGTTTCAGTTTATTCTTTGACATAAATACATGAAATACATCTCACTAATGCTTTCTTCTGACACATGTACCTGCCCGTCATGTGTGGTAAGGTTATCTGTTGTTCAACTGCATACGCATGTAGTAATATAAACGTCCAATATTATTATTTTCACTTCAATCATATCTAAATATATTTTTTGGAACAACTGCCCTGATACGTTGCCTGATAAGATTCTAAAATAGAAGCGACAAAACCATTTCCATAAGCATAAAATGACCGAAGCAGAAACCATAATACTTATGATATGATGTTCGTGAAAAGATGGACGCCGTAAAACTCGTTCTGATGTGCAGTGGTACTTCAGTGTGAGTCGGTCTCAATTCGTATACATAAGATATCTACGGGATAAATCGCAAAAATGAAGAACAAAAACGGCTTTTTTTCACGACATAAAACATTGTTCTATCATGACGTCATTTCTGGAAATTCGAACATGCACTCGCAAGGTGATGACGTCGAAATTCAGAGTGTCTAGATCTAATGAGTTGTTCCCATAGATGAACCTGGGCAACGTAGATGAACGAAATTGCCGAACGATCGCACCCAAAAGTAGGAGAGATCTGACAATCGGTATCAGGAGAAAAAGTACAGATAATCAACGTGAAAATTGTGAAAATGTGCGGGAAAGTCAAAATTTGCCGCGGTCGGATTCTATTCAAGGGGTAATCATTATTTAAATACGTCTATATATTGATAAAGCATGTACTTTTTACTGACATCTTTAAAGAGGCTTCCGTGATGTTGATATCTCATATCAGAAATCTACTCCCACCTGTCGTTTATTCTTATATGGTATCTTCCTCCTAAAAAAAGACATGTAAATAAATTTAACTTCAGTCATCCTGAATTGTTTTTGTTTTTTAATTGTCAGTCATCGTACATGATTGTGAGTTTCAGGGAATGTTTCAGGGAGCTGTTAAATTTCTTTATTAAAAAATAATCAAGGCCATACAAGGTTGCCATTTTGTGATGGTTTGGCTCACCGTGTTATACAGCGTAGATAATCCATACATAAACAACTAATGTTGACAACCCTTGGTACCAAGGCATCTTTATGTCATATTGTGGTGGGAAAGTGTCATGATGTAATGGCAAGTGATAACATCATGGTGACATGGATATATGGTGTCGTGGTGTCATAGCCATGGCGTCATGGTGGCATGACAAAGTTCATTTAAACACTGCACACGTTCCCTACTTAGAACAATCCAGACCTCCATTATCTACTCACCACTGAATCAACCATGACCTTCACCTTGTAGAAGGTCGTGGTGCCCTCGTACCCCGAGGACATTACCACCTCATTCGTGCAATCTGCGTTTCTCAGAGCGGGAAACACTCCGACATTGGGGTTGAACAAGGAGATGTACTCGAGGGGTGTTGTTTCAGACATATTGTGACAGTATATCCTCACTCTGTTGCCGTACAGACTGGAGGCTTCAGGGAAGAGCCAATAGTGGCCTTCAACGCTGGCCGGATCATTCTGTTTAACTTCAGAGCAGGTTCGTGGTCTCTTGATCACTGTGAAAAATAGAGACTGAAAATGAGTGGACCTCCTTTGAATAATATATGAAATGTATGTAGATATTGTACATGTAATCTTTCTTTTATGAACGTCTCAGTAAATATATAACGTCACAGCTACCAAATTATCTCGAAAATCGAAAAGTTAAATAGTTGATCCAACTGTGTTTAGAATTGGTCTTCAGCAACCCATGCTTGTCGTAAGAGGCGACTATGCTTGTTGCAAGATTCGACAAACGGGATCGGATGATTAGTCTCGTTGACTTGGTTGACATGCATGTCATCGTATCCCAATTTCGTAGATCGATGCTCATGAGGTCAATCACTGAGCTGTCTGGTCAGACTTGATTATTTAAATACTGTCATATAGCTGGAATATTGCAGTGTTTAACAACAAACAAACACTATATGTTAAAGATGAGGGATGGTACTGAGTTGTCTATTTAGCTTTGTTCTTTTTTAAGGACTGAGTGAATGTTGTTGCCGTCAGCAATATTTCCCGCTAGAATAACGGTGGCCTGCAAGTAGCCGAATCGAGGCTAGGCAACCTGTGGTTGATGGCACGAGCAAGGACCCATGCCTTTGGGATAAGTTATTTGGGATAATCATAATGTGACCACCCGATCTTCGTGTGATGCTGGAGAAAATAGTGAAACTCATCAATGTTCGAACACAAGCATGGCTTAGCTGTCTTAGAGACAACGTTTACACACTGTCGATGTTACTTTGTATTTGTTTCATAACAAATTCTTTTTAAAATAGTTTACGAGGTTTGGAAATAATTTTACGGAATTTCAATGACTGCACACGTCGAAGCTACAATGATAGCTTAAAATAAGCTTTGCTATGTCGTTTTTCTTTTTACTTAAATGTTTGTTTTTCGAGACATTTTCAAACAGTTCCCAACTGTGTTACAAAACGAACATATTTCTTTAACGTTTTTCTTCACATATGAACATCGTAAAGAGTGTGCTTGTACAGAGCAGACAAAATTCAAAACACATCTTCCAAACACAACAATGCTCTATGGATAAAGTGCTATACGTCCACGACACGTTTTTTGCAGCAGAAACTACACGTAAATAAGGTTTTATAAATGAAACGGATACAATTCACCACAGAAATGGCACGATTGACACCCGAACAACGCGGACGGGCCGTGGGTATTATACAGATGGGAGCCACCCATGCCCACATTGCTACAACTTTTGGTTGCTCCCGAGTTGCTGTAACTAATCTGAAACAACGTTACAGACAAACCGGGCAGACATCAGACAGGCCACGAGTGAGTGAGTGTGTGTGTATGGTTTTACGCCGCTTTTAGCAATATTCCAGCAATATCACGGCGGGGGACACCGGAACTGGGCTTCACACATTGTACTCATGTGGGGAATCGAACCCGGGTCTTCGGCGTGACGAGCGAACGCTTTAACCACTAGGCTACCCGACCGTCCCCAGACAGGCCACGAACAGGCAGACCCAGGGTAACTACGCCCAACGAAGACCGGTACTTGCGTACTTTGCATCTCCGTAATCGATTCCTGACAGTGATGTAATCAGCGACGAATGATTAGTCGACAGACAGTGGCGAGGCGACTCAGGGATCAAGGAATTAGGGTTTACAGACCTTACAGACAACAGTTATTGACAGCGCTACATCGTCGTCAGAGATTGAGATGGGCCCGGACTGTACGTCGTAGGCAGCGACGTGACTGGCAGAGGGTCGTCTTCACTCATGAAAACCGGTTCTGATTGTTCACAGCTGATGGAAGACAGTTTGTTTATCGCCGAAGGGGAGAATAAACGGCGGCATGTTAAGTCCAGGAGGGCGTGCCGTATGGTGGAGGGATGTTATGGTGTAGGGAGGAATTTGTGGCCTGGAGAGGACACCACTGGTCAGCGTTTACAGAAATTTGACATCTCGGCGTTACATGAATGGCATTCTTCCTCCGATTGTCCTACCATTTCTGCAACAGCTGCCACGTGGTGTCCTTTATCAGCAGGACACCTCCAGACCCAATGCTGCCCGAATCGTACAGAACGTCCTTGCAGCCAACACCATCAACGTGCTGCCGTGGCCAGCACGCTCCCATGACATGTCCCCCATAGAACACCCCTGAGGTGTCATACATCGTCGTGGTCGACAGCGACCACATCCTCCGGGCAACCGACAAGAACTGATCCAGGCCCTTCAAAAAGAATGACGACATTTCCCAAGTGACGACTGATTTCTTTCTGTGGGCCGGAGAGTTTTTACGTGTCTTGTAGCAGGGGGTGGCCGTACACGTGAACATAAGCGATTTTATATGTGTATACCCTTTCCCCATTACGTTAAAAGCATGTTTTTGCTTCCCTATCTCAAGTCGGGCAACTGTCATGACAGATTCGGGTGGTGTAAAACTGTTATTTTAAATGTTGCTTTTGTTGAGAGTTTCATCTTTTCAATACATTTTACTTCAGGCATCTATCATTTGCGGTTTTCAAACTTGAGTGATATAAGATTATAATAACGTTTCTTTTGGTCGTCAGTTAATTTTGATAAATCATTAGCTCTATAGACAGACACTGCAGATGTGTGCTAGTAGTACAATACATAAAGCTAGGGCATGATCAGATGACAATGGATTTAACAAAACCTATATCAGCCATAATATCAGCAGTAATATCAGCAAATGGCACGAACTGGACTCTCCTTAAATATACATTAAGACAATTGTTCAAATGATGCCGACACATCTTATAGATATAGTGGAATAACACTTTCCACCCGTCTCTCAACACATTATAGTCCGTGCCTCCTTCAAAGGAAGCATCGATATATCGGCAATAAATAGATCATGTATTCTGATGCGTGTTTTTCTGTGAAAGGGCTTTTGTTCTTCCACTTCTCTGCAAGTGTTTTATTTCTGGCATGTCCAAGTGCACAAGAATAGCTGATATGAGGGGAAAGGTTTGATTTTTCCAACTAATTCATGTGAAAATCTAACTGTGTGCAAGCCTGTGACTTAAGATGATCTGCCATGAAAATAAGCTTTGGTCAAAGACTTGGTCAAAATGCGACTAAAAACCTCTAAAATACGTATTTTGGACACATTTGAACCTTCCCTATAAATGTAGTGTTGTAAAAAGTACAAAACGAGAATGTGTTTAATTGGTATATGTTAATAATTTTAGTAGCCGTGTAATCTGTTGTAAATATATTTGTAGTAATTGACAGTGACATATTCTTCAAAAGACAAAACGCAATATGGATATTTTTGGCCATAAAAGCAAAACTAGCAGACCAAGAGATGCAAAATGAAGAGGTTAAATGTGTTATGGTGTCAGTGACAAATTTCCCGGATCAAAATGATCACAACAAGGACGTGCGAACCAGTAGTTTGGGAAACACGTACGATTCGGAAAAACGCAACCAGTGCATTAACAAAAGGGCCATGTAGCTGCACGCACTGAACGTTCAGCAGCACTATGGACGGTATGAAAGTGCGGGGTTTTTGATTGTTTGGCATCTGCGTCAATCGAACAGTGACAGTTCAACAACATGCCAAGATTAACAGAAACAACGTCAAAGGCCGCTTGCAGGCAGGGAAATCCCGATCAGCTGTAACCAGGTTTCGATTGTAGCGCCCAGCACCATCACAAGGCTATGGGATCGGTTTCAACAGCATGGGTCACCACGTGATCGACCAGGTTTCTTCTGTTAAGCTCTGATTGTAGTGCAAGGGCCTACAGGCGTCGAGGGTAACGTTTTAGCGACGCTTGCGTTACTCATAGTCGTCAGCTTGGGGACGGCGGTGTAATAGTATCGGATGGCATCACAACTCATGGGAGAACACAACTCATCATTATAAATGGCAACTAAACGGCGTACGCTACCGGGACGACATCGTTCGAGATCATGCTCCAGGCTGTGTGCCAATACAGGGGCGTAACGATATAGCAGGATAATGCCCGCCCACATGTTGCAGGTGTTGTTGGTCATAGCCAATAGTGACATTGTTAATTGAGTTGTTATCCCACCCTTCTTTTAGGGCCAGTTGCTGTGTCTCCTGTTACCAGGTATGGGTTTGTCAATGAATTTGTTATGATAAAACATTGATGAGACGAACGATCACATATCATGTCGTTATTTTCAATAACATACCATTTACACCACTTTAAATGAAGCACAGTTGTTTGTCTGCGTTAGTACATACACAATATTCAAGGGGTTTGCTTTCTTCCAAAATTATGGACGGCCTCCGTTGTCTGGCGGGTGGTGTGTATCAGCCCATAGAGGTTGGTGGTTCAATCCCCGGTCGCGTCATAAAAAGTTAAAATATGGTACTTGATGTTACCTTGCCTGCCCAAGCTAGGCATTACGGGGAAAAGACAAGGACTGATCGGCTCGAAGTCAGTATAATTGTGTCTGAGTGGGGTATCCATGTTAAACTGCGGCATGGTAACTCAGTGGGCTAGCACTAAATCGGTATTAGTCCGGACTAGTACAAGTCACCTCTTAAATTATGTAGGGGCCCTTCCCATACCTTGCACAGTTATAAAATAACGTTGTCCGTAATACTCCTTTTGACATGAATATTTGTAGTTGGAATGTATCGCTTGTCTTGTACATACCACATGTATATGTACTTGCATATTGTAGTTTGATATGTACTTGGGTAAACCACACATATGGAGATATATCCTAATCAGTGTGACGACACAGTTAGCGTTACTGACAATACGAAGTGCATTACACATTCTATTTTTTTTTCATTCTTATTTAGACGCTGACCGACAGACCGACACGATGCATTAGTTTAAAAGTCAGACGTATATATCATGAGCGGACCCAGAGGAACTGGTGTGGCAAGGGTGCTCATCCCCGTTTTGAAAGCATACGATACATATAAATATAATAGGGAAGTTTGTAAGTGATCGAGTATACTAAACGTAAAACGTATAACAACACTATAAGTGAATCATTTGGTGATATACTTTCAGCACAATTACACCATTGTTGAAGGCGAATTTCCAAATCACAAACGGCACCCCTTTTACAGAACGTTGTATTAACGTTTGAATATACTTATAATTACCCAGTTTAGTGCCAGAGAAGTTAAGTTGACATCATGTAATAAAAGAAAAATAGTTTCAGAGATAAAATATTAATGTTTAAGTCGGTATTTACCTGAATTATGACATAAAACACAGAACATATAACCGTGTTTGCCAGTGTCATTCCAGAACATAGGAACACTTCACATCAACTAAGACCACAGATACTTACCCTCCTTCACAAAGTACTGAAAGGAGCCTTGGGTACTCTGGGTTAACTCGGAAGGATGGAGTACGAAGGTGTTGGTAAGGCAACGTTTTTCTTCCTTGCTGTAATAAAACGAGAGACAAAACACATCCTTGTCGCAGGCACCAGCACATGATACCTTGGACACGACTTTATGATCCATCAAAAAAAAGTTTCTGTCGTATGGATTATCAACAAAATCTTGCATTATGAAACGGGAATTTTGAAGAAATGCCAAACATGGAATATAATTAAAAATTATTCTCAGAACGAGAAATGTCTTCGACATTTTGCTTAAACAGAATGCTGTCAGCTCAAAGCCTACTTTCGTACTAAGCCTACTTATGTATGGTTTATATATATACCCTATTGTGATCAATCATGCCGTCTTTGGATCAATGGTACAGTGTCGGCTACATGATCTTTTCTTAAGCAGCGGGAGAGAGTAAATAATGCTACCACTAACCAAACATCTAACAAACTACCAAACATCACGCCCTTAATTACTAATTAACCACTGTGTTTGGTGTAGGATGTCGTCAACTGAAACGACAAGACAGACACAGAGATCAGCAAGGCAACAATAATAATTTGAATTATATATATATATATTGGAGGGGGGGGGGGGGGGGGGTGGGGGGGGGGGTAATCACATGCATTTCAGAACAAATCAAGTGTGCTTCCCAGTTGATATGACAAATCAGAACAGATCCGGTCATGTCACTGTTTAAACGCTCCATACATTTTCAGGTACGGACAGTTAGTTGTCCAATAGTCATTATCTTAAGCCAGCATTTCAATAAATTTACACATGTAATAGACGGACTTTTTTTCTAGTTTGAAACTCAAGTGAATGGTTTCAAAGTTTGTTGGGAAACGTGTCACAAGCGGGTCTCGATCCCGCACCGTTTGATTAAACAGTTAACGCAACATTGATGAGAAAAACTGAAAATGAGAAAAATATACATGTACATATCCTTATCCAAGACGCAATCTGTCAGACGCCATCCGTCAGACGCCATCATACTTGGTCAGATATCGACAACCTCTCAGCAGGTGTTACAAGTACTAGTTATCAGCAAATGTTTATATGTGCAAAAACATTATCAAGTGACGTAGGTACATGTAGCGACTATAACCGTTATACCTCTCAGTCTTGTTATTTATTTACTGTTTTTCATGTGGTTTATATATGTTACAGTCAATGTGTAAAATGACAATTTTAAATTAGGCAATTTACAAAACGCCAAATACTTCGGTCATTTTACAATGATTTTTTCCGTCAGGTTGACTAAAAGTTATTAAGAAGTGAAAGGGCTTAACAACTAATTAAGTTAGGATTAGAAACCAAAACATTAACAAAACTTCCGTGATCTCTTAATCATATCATTTTCTTTTAATCTTTGATCATTTTCAGCCACTAGGTGAAGAAATAGAGAATAAAAACCTTTGAAATTCGTTATCATAATATAACAAATGGAATTTACACAATGACTGTGACATAGATACCCTATAAACATGTATTGACATAAGGCTTATGTTTAATTATAAGATACTATTGCATTCTCATGTAGATTTAATATTATACTTACACCGTGTGTAATTCTTATAGACTTGATTTTCAGTTAATTCAGTTAATGTACACAGCTACATGTCTACAAAGATAGCGACTTTCTGAGACTACTGACGGGATCGGGTGGTCTGGCTCGCTGACTTGGTTGATGCATGTCATCGTATCCCAATTGGATAGATTGATTATCAGGACGTCAATCACTGGACTGTCTTGTCCAGGCTCGACTATATACAGAACGCCGTCATTTAGCTGAGATAAACAAACAGTAGGAAAGTACAGCATTCAAACACAGGAGCGCATAATTGATACAGCAACAAGCGCTGCAGAAACCTGACGGAACAATAACGCAAACATCTCTTTTTCTTTCTTTTTTATAAAGTTAATACGCAGAAACGAAAATACAATTGCAGCGTCCACCTGTTCCTTAACAAGAGAAGTCGAATCAGTACATGGACACTGGGAACGAACATGACCATGGGTATAGCACTTAAAGAAGCTGGGTATTCGCCCTGGTGCAGTGATCAGCATGCTCTTCTGAGGTATGCGCTCCTTTTCATCATCAGTTAGTTCCATTTTCACGATGCGATCACCAGAAAACTATAAAAGTACACCTTGTCACTCCCGACACTAACTCACTGTAGCTTCAAATGTATCTGCACACAATCCACATTCTTCATAGTAATGTAAACTTGACCATACCCCTCAGTCTCCCAGGCACCTCGACAAGCTGACAAGTCAAACTTGTACAGACGTCTTCAAGTACAACACCAACTCCTTAACAGAAGATACCTTAGCAGTCAGGTAGACACGCAGAGTCCTGGCAACAACGTCCTGGTCCACATACTTCGCAGGGGTGGGACCCTCGTTGACTGCTGCAGTGAACGCCATGGTAAATGTAAGGAGACCAATGAAAATCACACGAATGCCAAGCAAACGATGCCTTACGTAGACCTATAAAGGAAGTGGCAGTAAAATACAAAGCACAATGTCATTTAGCTGAGATATTGCTGAGCGCGGCGTTAAACAACAAATAAACAAACAGTAGGTAAGTACAGCATTCAAACACAGGAGCGCAAAACTGATACAGCAACAAGCGCTGCAGAAACCTGACGGAACAATAACTCCGACGTCTGACTGCATGGTGAGGACTTCCAACTCGAGGAGAATGCACATCTGACTGCATGGTGAGGACTTCCAACTCGAGGAGAATGCACATCGGACTGCATGGTGAGGACTTCCAACTCGAGGAGAATGCACATCTGACTGCATGGTGAGGACTTCCAACTCGAGGAGAATGCACATCGGACTGCATGGTGAGGACTTCCAACTCGAGGAGAATGCACATCGGACTGCATGGTGAGGACTTCCAACTCGAGGAGAATGCACATCGGACTGCAAGGTGAGGACTTCCAACTCGAGGAGAATGCACCAATGCATGTTGGCTGCTTTCAAGAGTTTCATTTTCGGCGATGAGGGTTTGTGTTGGGTTGGGGTTATTTATTTGTTTGTTATAAAAAATATAAACACCTGTTTATACTCAAATCAAGTTAAGGTGCAAACTTATATTCCTGCCAGATCGTTAATTGGAAAACATAGGAATTCGACATCTCTAATCGGAAATCCGGTTGAAATGGGTTCAATGTGACCTAAAGCTCTGCATTGTGTGCAAATCATATGCACTGTGAGATTCTTTTGACAAATCACCGATTCAAGCTGAAATATATATACACTCTTCAAAAAAAGAAAACGCACAGGTAGATTTTTAGTAAATTTATTGTACCTAATAGAGTCGATATATTTAATTTAATATGATAGATACAAATATGAAATTTTGGAGCTCGATAGTCACATGTTGTACAAAGGCAATGAAAACTGTTCATTGTCATGTCACATAAGGCCACAAGTTTGCGCTGAACTCTATCTCGTGTGACCGCCCCGGGCAGCAATCACGGCTCTGCATCTCCTCGGTACTGACTGGATAAGTGTACGAATTCTGTCCTGCGGAATCTGCGCCATTCTTCTTGTAACGTGTTGGCCAGTTGTGGGAGTGTCTGCGGCGTGTTCTGACGTTGACGTACATGTCGATCGAGTTCATCCCAGAGATGTTCGATTGGGTTGAGTTCTGGAGATCTCGACGACCAGGGCAAAAGTTCCATGTTGGATAAAAATCTCAATTCTTTAAGTTTAGGGGTATGGGGTAAATGGCATTGCAAATTTTCCATCCGACAAAATCATCTTACCTGATTTCTCAATGCTTTATGTAGTAAGAAAACTAAACAAAGACTCCGATCCTATTTATATTCATATACTGTTGGGAGTTGTCATTAAATACATCCTGGCCCATCTGTTCACCCGAAAAGGTTTTTTCGTCGGCTGCAATAGTCCATCTGGTGCAGTGCCCAGTATATTATGGCAGATTTGATCTATTGACAAACTACCAATAACTGTCATCACCTAGTTAATTTACTTCATTCGCCGAATAAACGTTCTGACGAAGCAGGGCAAAACACAAGAATGCGTGACATGAAGAGGTCATTAAATTCGGGAATTTAACATTTTAAAATTATTTTTTAAGACGTTATGGGGTATGTTAAGGAATTAATATTTTTATCCGACATTGAACTTTTGAAATGGTCCCTTAAGCATGTTAACTATGCCTCTGTTCACCCAGCAGTGAACGGGTACCCGGTAGGATGAGATGATAATGTAACTGCTAACCTAGCGCGTCATGAGACAGCCTCGGTTGTATACTCCCTAGGGATTGTAGATGAAATGAAACTAGACTTACGCTGGTCCATTGACCGGGGTTATGATAATGCAGCGCTAGGAGCAGTCGCGTGGTGAATGGAATTTGACGCATTTTAAATGAAGTTTATTTCCATACACACAACAAACGAAACACGTACATACAACTCATAACATCAACACATATATCATGTAATACACAGGCGCTTTGTGCACAGAACCGTCCATTCGTACAACGTTTCGTGTTGGGTAGAACGTTTAACAACAATACCCTGTCATCGAGCAAGGCCTTCGTGATTCACGACTTCGGCTACTTGAACGACCGTGTTTGTGTATCCAGGCTTAGATCATAATGATTATTCATCGGGCCCTTGTGTAAGATATAAAGATAGACGACAGGAATAACCCGCACACCGACCCACTCACGCATACGCCTGGAACCCTCGTGGTGCAGGAAGTTTTGAAACAAATTTATGACCTCCTCGATTCACTGATATTTCTTCGCACGTGCTTCCCTATATCACAGATTGATCTGGTTTACTCCCAATGTCAGACATCCCATTTGTCAGACGACCCAATAGTCAGACATCCCATTAGTCAGACGACCCAATAGTCAGACATCCCATTTGTCAGACGACCCATGGTCAGACATCCAATTTGTCAGACGACCCAATAGTCAGACATCCCATTAGTCAGACGACCCAATAGTCAGACATCCCATTAGTCAGACGACCGAATAGTCAGACATCCCATAAGTCAGACGACCCAATAATCAGACATCCCATTAGTCAGACGACCCAATAGTCAGACATCCCATTAGTCAGACGACCCAATAGTCAGACATCCCATAAGTCAGACGACCCAATAGTCAGACAGACCAGTCAAGTGTGACCAGTGCAACTGCCTGGTCTTACCTACTAATTAATGAACTAATTAAAGTTGCGTTTGATCTGTGTCGGGTTGCGTGTGTTTTATCAGCAACGATTTAGAGAAGTTTTTTTCCAGTGATATTGAATATAGGAAACTCAGTGAAGATTAACAAACGATGTTAAATACGATGTTAGAATAAGAACACGTTAAATAGATTAAACATCTCCATAACCTGATCTAATCTCACATGTACTATATTTGGTTGGTTGGTTTGTTGTTTTACGCCGCACTCAGCAATATTCCAGCTATATGACGGCGGTCTGTAAATAATCGAGTCTGGACCAGACAATTCAGGGATTGACATCATAAACATCGAACCACGCAATTGGGACACGATGACATGCATCAACCAAGTCAGCGAGCCTGACCACCCGATCTCGTTAGTCGTCTTTTACGGCAAGCATGGGTTACTGAAGACCTATTCTACCCCGGATCTTCACGGGTCTACATGTACTATAGGTACCGTACTATATAACATGTAGCCTAAGTCAGTAAGGTGTCACCACCATGGCTGGTATATGCAGAGTTGAGTACATAGAGTCTCAGAGAGGAACCCCACAAGTATTCCTCGATGAGTTCACTTACTCTAAGAATCGAACCAGAGGCCAGACCACACACAGGAGATGTATCATCAAGACCTGCCGTGGGAAATGTTCCACTGTTAGGGACTTCCTTAAAGATGTCTCGGACCACTGCCATCCACTTAGAGATCAGACTCCTGTCAAGTGTGTCAGTACTTTGAGGGAACCGACCAGAGAAGAGGCGGCACCTGTCCAGGCCATCTACAATGCAGGAGTCGGTCGCCAGACTCCAGAAAACGTTCCACATCTTCCTTCGTTCCCAAACTTAAAGAGCTTCCTCTATCGACATCACCTGAGGTGGCAAGGTGCCAAGATTTCAACGATTACATGGTGACGACATGGGTTGACGACGAGGCCCGTTTCAGACTCACAGCGACGTCAGGGGGATATTCTCTAAGTGTGTTTTGATTAGATAGATTGACCATTATCTCCAGTGAAATCAGCCGATATGAGTGAGTGAGTGAGTATGGTTTTACGCCGCTTTTAGCAATATTCCAGCAATATCACGGCAGGGGACACCAGAAGTTGGCTTCACACATTGTACCCATGTCGGGACCCGGGTCTTCGGCGTGACGAGCAAACGCTTTAACCACTAGGCTACCCTACCGCCCTCCGATATGAGTATAATTGTGTAGTCCTGTAGTCATGGGTAACCGTTTAAATCTAGATTACGAGCTGTCAATAAAACTGATTTGTGTCCCACGGGAGAGGACTGTGCCAAATGAAATCCGTGTATTCATAGCCAATACCCACCCTCTTAACCCTATTATCGATTCACAAAATGACTTCCAACATAATACTTTGAACGAAATGTAAAGTCAGTGTAAAAGCTTCATTCATATGCGCTGTGTACTAGATATTATAACACACGAAGTTATAATAGCCTCTTAACGTCCAGGTAACATAGACAGACAGCGTTACAAGACACTCGCAGTCTACGTGAGTCTCCCTCTTGAGTGAGTTTGATATACGATACATTGCACGCAAGGAAGGAGACCGTTATTAATTGTGTTCAACTTTTGGATAAGTTCACAAGCATTTGTGAGTATTTATGGTAGTGTATTGACAGTTCATATATGTAAGTGATTGTGTATATTAGTATTGTTTATATCTGTGTTTGGAATACACGTATCGATCAAAAATAGCAGGTCGATGTGATCCCGTATTGGTTGAATCAACCATAGCAAGACCCGACCAAGACCCGACGATTTAGCGGTGGACACAGACTGCTCTACATACCCCGCCCCTCTCTGATACCTAACAGCCCGTCGTTACATCTGTTCATGTTTTCTGCGGAAATATACTCACCACGAGGGACCGACCCGGGGTTTCGTTTGCAGATGAGATATTTTGTCAAAACCAAATATTGTAAATGTTAAAACTATGAGCCTGAACATTTCTAAAAAATATAAAACCCTTGCAACAATGTAAATTTTGAGGCAGACAAGTTTTTTGTTTTTTTCAGACTGAAGAATAATTATTTTTTTAAAGAAATTCCTGGGACAATTTGTTTTTTGCGATAGAATTCCAGTCGAGCTTGTCACTGATACTTTAGTCATTGTCTTTAGCGAGTTGCTATACGCAACCAACAACAACTGAACATGTATGTCCGACTGAAGTCAAACCAACCTGGAAGAAATATGACGACAATCTATTCTTCGGGAATATAAACCTCCCGCAGGACAGGCTTAACATGACTTGACGTGTGGCTTTCGTTGCATACAGTCTGTTGAACAATAGCCGAACTTGGCCTACCTTTTGAATACAGTTCTCGTTACTTTAAGAGTATGAAGTACAGCCTATGATTCCCGTATGGTATACATCACCATCAAATAACCAATCCATTACGTTTCACTTTAGCAACCATCAAACATTGGTGTATACTTTCTCATGCTCAGGAGTTAATGTTGACATATCTGATATATACCTGAAAGTCACGCACAACACCTGACTAATGATTGTACCTGTGTTCTGATATATACCTGACAGTCAAGCACAACACCTGACTAATGATTGTACCTGTGTTCTGATATAAACCTGACAGTCAAGAACAACATATGACTAAATGAGGGTATCTGTGTTCTGATATATACCTGACAGTCAAGCACAACACCTGACTAAATGAGTGTATCTGTGTTCTGATATATACCTGACAGTCAAGCACAACACCTGACTAAATGAGGGTATCTGTGTTCTGATATATACCTGACAGTCAAGCACAACACCTGACTAAATGAGTGTTTCTGTGTTCTGATATATACCGGACAGTCAAGCACAACACCTGACTAATGATTGTACCTGTGTTCTGATATATACCTGACAGTCAAGAACAACACCTGACTAATGATTGTACCTGTGTTCTGATATATACCTGACAGTCAAGAACAACACCTGACTAAATGAGGGTACCTGTGTTCTGATATATACCGGACAGTCAAGAACAACACCTGACTAAATGAGGGTACCTGTGTTCTGATATATACCTGACAGTCAAGAACAACACCTGACTAAATGAGGGTACCTGTGTTCTGATATATACCGGACAGTCAAGAACAACACCTGACTAAATGAGGGTACCTGTGTTCTGATATATACCGGACAGTCAAGAACAACACCTGACTAAATGAGGGTACCTGTGTTCTGATATATACCGGACAGTCAAGAACAACACCTGACTAAATGAGGGTACCTGTGTTCTGATATATACCGGACAGTCAAGAACAACACCTGACTAAATGATTGTACCTGTGTTCTGATATATACCGGACAGTCAAGAACAACACCTGACTAAATGAGGGTACCTGTGTTCTGATATATACCGGACAGTCAAGAACAACACCTGACTAAATGAGGGTACCTGTGTTCTGATATATACCGGACAGTCAAGAACAACACCTGACTAAATGAGGGTACCTGTGTTCTGATATATACCTGACAGTCAAGCACAACACCTGACTAAATGAGGGTATCTGTGTTCTGACATATACCTGACAGTCAAGAACAACACCTGATTAAATGAGTGTATCTGTGTTCTGATATATGCCTGACAGTCAAGAACAACACCTGACTAATTATTGTACCTGTGTTCTGATATAAACCTGACAGTCAAGCACAACACCTGACTAAATGAGTGTACCTGTGTTCTGATATGAACCTGACAGTCAAACACAACACCTGACTAATTATTGTACCTGTGTTCTGATATATACCTGACAGTCAAGCACAACACCTGACTAATGAGTGTATCTGTGTTCTGATATATACCTGACAGTCAAGCACAACACCTGACTAATGAGTGTACCTGTATTCTGATATGAACCTTACAGTCAAGCACAACACCTGACTAATTATTGTACCTGTGTTCTGATATATACCTGACAGTCAAGCACAACACCTGACTAATGATTGTACCTGTGTTCTGATATATACCTGAAAGTCAAGCACAACACCTGACTAATGAGTGTACCTGTATTCTGATATGAACCTGACGGTCAAGAACAACACCTGACTAATGAGTGTACATGTGGTCTGATATATACCTGACAGTCAAGCACAACATCTGACTAATGAGTGTACCTGTATTCTGATATGAACCTGACAGTCAAGCACAACACCTGACTAGTGAGTGTACCTGTAGTCTGATATATGCCTGACAGTCAAGCACAACACCTGACTAATGAGTGTACCTGTATTCTGATATGAACCTGACAGTCAAGCACAACACCTGACTAATTATTGTACCTGTGTTCTGATATATACCTGACAGTCAAGCACAACACCTGACTAATGATTGTACCTGTGTTCTGATATATACCTGACAGTCAAGCACAACACCTGACTAATGAGTGTACCTGTATTCTGATATGAACCTGACGGTCAAGAACAACACCTGACTAATGAGTGTACCTGTATTCTGCTATGAACCTGACAGTCAAGCACAACACCTGACTAATGAGTGTACCTGTGTTCTGCTATGAACCTGACAGTCAAGCACAACACCTGACTAATGAGTGTACCTGTGGTCTGATATATACCTGACAGTCAAGCACAACACCTGACTAATGAGTGTACCTGTATTCTGATATGAACCTGACAGTCAAGCACAACACCTGACTAATGAATGTACCTGTGGTCTGATATATGCCTGACAGTCAAGCACAACACCTGACTAATGATTGTACCTGTGTTCTGCATCAAAATCGATGTTTATCTAAGAACCCTGCTACATATCAACATACATGGATATCAACAGACCCTGGTGTATATCAACATATATACATATCAGTATAAAGATCCAGGGTCGAATAGGCCTTCAGCAACCCGTGCTTGCTGTAAAAGACCGTCCATGCTTGTCGTAAGAGGCGACTAACGGGATCGGGTGGTCAGCTCGCTAACTTGGTTGATGCATATCATCGTATCCCAATTGCGTGGATCGATGATCATGATGTGAATCACAGGATTGTCTGGTCCAGACTCGTTTATTTACAGACCACCGTCATATAGCTGGAATATTGCTGAGTGCGGCGTTAAACAACAAACATACAAATATATCGATATACACCAGGGTAATTTGATATACATGTTGATTTACACCAGCGTATATTGATATACATGTAGGTTGATATACACCAGCATATATTGATATACATGTAGGTTGATATACACTAGGGTATATTGATATACATGTAGGTTGATATGCACAAGCATATATTGATATACATGTAGGTTGATATACACCAGGGTATATTGATATACATGTAGGTTGATTTACAAAAGCGTATATTGATATACATGTAGGCTGATATACACCCGGGTATATTGATATACATGTATGTTGATATACAGCAGGGTAATTTCATATACATGTTGATTTACACCAGCGTATATTGATTTACATGTAGGTTGATATACACCAGGGTTTATTGATATTCATGTAGGTTGATTTACACCAGCGTATATTGATATACATGTAGGTTGATATACACCAGGGTATATTGATATAAATGTGTGTTGATATACACCAGAGTATTTGAAATACATGTACATGTATGTTGATATATACCAGGGTATTTGATATACATGTCTGGTGATATAGACCAGGGTATTTGATATGCATGTATGTTGATATATACCAGGTAATTTGATATGCATGTATGTTGATATACACAAGGGTATATTGATTTACATTACATGTATGTTGATATACACCAGGATATTTGATAAACATGTATGTTGATATATACCAGCGTATACTGATATACATGTATGTTGATATACAACAACGTATATTGATATACATGTACATTGATATATTCCAGCGTATATTGACATATCGTCCCCCCCCCCCCCCCCCCCCCCTCCCCCCCTGCCTGGGCTCCCTTGGAGTCAGGGCTGCCCGTGGCACTGGATATTATGTCTGAGTAAGCTCCTCTTTTCTTTGTACAATATTCCAGTAGAATATTCATGAAAAGGTTACGTGTACATTCAACTGGTTCTATTCTCTACCGTGTGAATGTTAGAGCGAATGAATAGACGAGTGAATGTCGGCATTGCTGCCCCACTCAAACGCCCGCACATAATAGCCCTGTGCATGAGTCATTGATCACACATTCGTCGCAAGTCATAAATATTTACATGCACAATTCTCAGTCCCGAGCAGTGATTCCAGGAGAAGGGTGACGGTTGGAGTTAATGCCCTCAGTTGTATTTCACGGACCCCAGACAACAGAGTGACTTACATGAGCGCATGCCGTAGTTATGATCATATTTGACATGAAACAAATCCTGACCGAAATATATAATTTTATATCCACCCTCTCATACAAATGACTACTTTTTAGACGTATTATCCGTGCATGTTATAACGAAATTGTAACTCATTGATATCGGTTTTTTAAAATGGCTATAATTTCCTCTGTTTGTATTTTGTTGTAAGTGATAAAGGGCGTACACGCAATGCCTGTTTTATAACAACGTGCCTTTGCTATTGAAGCAGCCAGGGTGTTAAGTAATGGCATGTGCACTAAGACAATCTTAATGCTAAAGCCGTGCACACATGACGGTAGACAGCTACACCCATAGCTCGCACAACTTGATATAACTGTAGCTTCATCAATGCACGTGTACGTTGCATACAGTCAAATTATATATTTGATACCCTAAATGTAGTATCATATTATCGGTATATTTACGCAGATTTCGTTATATACTGCCCCGTGTTCTTCTCCTCCTTCTTTTTATTATTATTATTGTTATTGTTGTTGTTGTTCTCGTTGTTGTTGTTGTTGTTGTTGTTGTTGTTGTTGTTATTATTATTATTATTATTATTATTAATATTATTATTATTATAGTTGAAAGCTGACTAAGATGCTGGATCACGGCAAGTTGTGTGTACTGACACTGGCATGGCTGGCCTGCATTAGTAGTGGTGAGTTGAACGTTTGTATTTACAAACCTGAATTCTGATGTAACCTGACCGGGGTCTTACATATAATTACGAAAGGTGTCACCTCAAAATGACCGCCTCCATGGTCTGGTGGTAGAGCTTCTGCAAGGAGAGCGGCTAGTCCGGGGTTCGATCCATACCAAAAAACATTGAAAGGTGGCACTTGTTGTTGCCCTGCCTGGCCCTCGGCATTAAGGACTGGTCGGCTTGGAGTCAGTAAACTGTCTGAGTGGAGCAATCTCGTTAAACTGCGGTATGGTTTCTCAGTGGGCTTGTACTATAAAAAGGGCATTAGTCTTGACTAGTACAGGAAGCCACACACAAAAACACACACACGTGCATGCACGTCGCTATATAAGTGCAATAATCTTGACGTTAAACCCCATTTCATCTCACCTAAAACCTGATTGTTTTCTGTACAGATGTATGTTCTGGCCAGACCCTCTGCCCTGGTGGGGACGCTACCCTCAGCGCAGAATACAGTATAACTGGTGACAAGGGCAGCTATGAAGGGTTTATCTGGGTGCGACCAACTGATAACAGATATGTTGTCACATGCAACCCCAACTGCAGTGCCGTGTCTGGATACAGTGCCACCAAGAATGATACTCACTCTACACTAACTATAGAATCTGTGAATATGGATGCGGATATTGGTGTATGGAAGATCGAGGATGCTAATGCCGGTTCGGTTCTGATTTCTAGCGTGTGTAATCTGACTTATAGCGGTAAGACTTCATCCATTGTGGGCGCTAGCTCCCTATGTGTGTGTGCGTGCGTGTGTGTGTGTGTGAGTGTGTGTGTGTGCGTGTGTGTGTGTGTGTGTGTGCCTGCGTGCGTACGTGAGTGCGTGCGTGCGTGCGTGTGTGTGTGTGCGTGTGTGTTCGTGCGTGCGTGTGTGCGTGCGTGCGTGCGTGCGTGTGTATGTATGTTGCGGATGGGTGGATGTTAAAGACAATTGTTTAAAATCATTTCTTCCAGAAAATATGTTTTGCCCAAATAAATTGTTCGCTGGAACCGAACCGCTGGAAACTTAAAGACCACTATATTCTCAAAAAAGTAACACGGAGTGATGCTGATGTTTTCACAGAGCGAGTGCTGAAGCGAACACAATCTTATATCAAATATCATTCTTATCAAATGTCTTTGGCTCTTCATCCGCAAAACGGTTTCCTTGACCCAAGGTAAAATATTAATAATAAATGTAAGAATTTAACAATGGGTCAACCAGATATTTCTTATATAATCACAGCACGGCATCTTTATTACTAGTATTATAATTAAATGTTTTTTATATGTTTACGATTTTTATACGTTTCAGACAACAGCGATTCGACAACAACGTCGTCAACACCAACAGACAACTCCACAGAGAATGGTACGTCAACAAAACATATCTTTTTTAAAGAGTCTGCATTCAAAGTTTTATTCACAAGCATTGAAGTGATCAGTAAGAATCGGCTTGTGTTTTATCTTACTCCTAACAGTCGTAAGCATTTCCAGAAGTTCGTCTTTCTAGTTTACTGTCTTACCTCATTCATGAACAGTTTTGTCAACAACGCAGGCTGTTTAGCTTTACTGTTAATGTAGTAGCGGCATATATACATAGGCAGCATAATGTGCATGTTATATCATTTTAATCCATTGAAAACGGCCATACTTTGTATTTTGAGCGACTTTTGTGCAATGGTAAATCTGCTTCGAATAAGGCAGCAGTAGTATATATGTTCATAGCCAGCTGCGTGTTGGAATATTGGGTATTGATATTAATAATGGAATGACACAGGCACCATTTCAATGTTACAAAATGCTTAAGCAATTAGATGATGAAGGGAAAACGAGTCGGGTGTCTGGTGTGTGCGTGTATGTATGTTGCGGATGGGTGGGTGTTAAAGATAATTGTTTTAAATCATGTGTTCCAGAAAATATGTTTTACCCAAATACATTGTTCGCTTGGCAAGCTGAATGTTTTAAAAAAAAACTGTTCGGTTCCTCCTTTTTTAAAGACCGATAATATATTCGTCTCTAATAGAAACACCCCCAAAATTTAAGGTTATAAAAAATTCAACCGAACCGCTGGAAACTTAAAGACCACTATATTCTCCACATTGTAACACGGAGTGATGCTGATGTTTTCACAGAGAGAGTGCTGAAGAGAACACAATCTTATACAAATGTCTTTGGTTCTTCATCCGCAAAACGGTTTCCTTGACCCAAGGTCAAATATTAATAATAAATGTAAGAATTTAACAATGGGCCAACCAGATATTTCTTATATAATCACAGCACGACATCTTAATTATTATAATTAAATGGGTTTTTTTATATGTTTACAATTTTTATACGTTTCAGACAACAGCGATTCGACAACAACGTCGTCAACACCAACAGACAACTCCACAGAGAATGGTACGTCAACAAAACATATCGTTTTTAAAGAGTCTGCATTCAAAGTTTTATTCACAAGCATTGAAGTGATCAGTAAGAATCGGCTTGTGTTTTATCTTACTCCTAACAGTCGTAAGCATTTCCAGAAGTTCGTCTTTCTAGTTTACTGTCTTACCTCATTCATGAACAGTTTTGTCAACAACGCAGGCTGTTTAGCTTTACTGTTCATGTAGTAGCGGCATATATACATAGGCAGCATAATGTGCATGTTATATAATTTTAAATTATTTGAAAACGTCCATACTTTGTATTTTGAGCGACTTTTAAGCGATGGTAAATCTGCTTCGAATAAGGCAGCAGTCGTATATATGTTCATAGCCAGCTGCGTGTTGGAATATTGGGTATAGATATTAATAATGAAATGACACAGGCACCATTTCAATGTTACAAAATGCTTAAGCAATTAGATGATGAAGGGAAACGAGTTGGGTGTCTGGTGTGTGTGTGTATGTATGTTGCGGATGGGTGGGTGTTAAAGATAATTGTTTTAAATCATGTGTTCCAGAAAATATGTTTTACCAAAATACATTGTTCTCTTGGCAAGCTGAATGTTTTTTTTAAAAAACTGTTCGGTTCCTCCTTTTTTAAAGACCGATAATATATTCGTCTCTAATAGAAACCCCCTCCAAAATTTAAGATTATAAAAAATTCAACCGAACCGCTGGAAACTTAAAGACCACTATATTCTCCACATTGTAACACGGAGTGATGCTGATGTTTTCACAGAGAGAGTGCTGAAGAGAACACAATCTTATACAAATGTCTTTGGTTCTTCATCCGCAAAACGGTTTCCTTGACCCAAGGTCAAATATTAATAATAAATGTAAGAATTTAACAATGGGCCAACCAGATATTTCTTATATAATCACAGCACGACATCTTAATTATTATAATTAAATGGGTTTTATATGTTTACGATTTGTATACGTTTCAGACAACAGCGATTCGACAACAACGTCGTCAACACCAACAGACAACTCCACAGAGAATGGTACGTCAACAAAACATATCGTTTTTGAAGAGTCTGCATTCGAAGTTTTATCAATACGCATTAAAGTGATCAGTAAGAATCGGCTTGTGTTTTATCTTACTCCTAACAGTCGTAAGCATTTCCAGAAGTTCGTCTTTCTAGTTTACTGTCTTACCTCATTCATGAACAGTTTTGTCAACAACGCAGGCTGTTTAGCTTTACTGTTAATGTAGTAGCGGCATATATACATAGGCAGCATAATGTGCATGTTATATCATTTTAAACCATTGAAAACGTCCATACTTTGTATTTTGAGCGACTTTTGTGCAATGGTAAATCTGCTTCGAATAAGGCAGCAGTCGTATATATGTTCATAGCCAGCTGCGTGTTGTTACATATGGGGTATAGATATTAATAATGGAATGACACAGGCACCATTTCAATGTTACAAAATGCTTAAGCAATTAGATGATGAAGGGAAAACGAGTCGGGTGTCTGGCGTAAGAAGCATGTTTTTTAATTCTGGATTTACCTTTGTATGGATCTCACAAGACACCGGAAATACGTTTAAACAACTATTATTAGATATATTTCAGCAAAACTGGCACCAACACATTTCTGGAAGCGCACGCTTGTTTCACCATATGATTGTAACATGTTCAACCTGATTGTTTTCTGTACAGATGTATGTTCTGGCCAGACCCTCTGCCCTGGTGGGGACGCTACCCTTAGCGCAGAATACAGAATAACTGGAGACAGGGGCAGCTATGAAGGGTTTATCTGGGTGCGACCAACTGATAACATATCTGTTGTCACATGCAACCCCAACTGCAGTATCGTGTCTGGATACAGTGCCACCAAGAATGATACTCACTCTACACTAACTATAAAATCTTTGGAAAAGACGGATATTGGTGTATGGAAGATCAAGGATGCTAATAACGGGTCGACTGAGGCTTCAAGCGTGTGTTGTATGAAGACAGGCGGTGAGACTTTGTTTATGTTACTATCTTAGGCACCAACCATTTGACAATCTGTAGGTGACCATGAGGTGTGTGGCTGGGGTATTATCTTTTCTTAAACAAATCTTTTAATATGACCATACAGATGATGTAGCTGAAGCCCTTGAGTGTCGGTGTAGTTGTGGCCTATGTTAACATAACTATGCATAGGTTACGGCAGCAGGAAACATGCAGGCAATTCCACCCTTCACAGTGTGCCTGCCACCCACTACAGTATTGTGTTAAATAATGTTAAATAATTGGGTTTGCGACAAATGAAAGGCCTTACACACTATGCGTTTATTGGCTTCAGAGTCAATGGCATATGCAGGCGATCTTCCTCGGGACCTGGCTTGTATACACACATCTAGATCTGTCCTCATTTTCCCATTTAGCAAAACTTTACATATCAATTAAGTTAACTAAAATTTTAAAATTTTAGAGGCAGTTCATAAATTACTGTGTGATAATGTGAACTAAACACTTAATGTTGACCTCAAATGTAATTGTGAAAAGAATGGGTGTTTTTGCTGTAATCTGATCGATTGAAACATGTTTTTCTTTATGATCCGAATTTTGAAAAAAGGATCAGTTTGACCTGGGGAAAGGGGTAAAACGTTAATTAGATATTAAGTTACATCAATGTTTATCAAAACAACTTTTGATTTACTTTTTGTAAAGTATTTTTCACATCCTGCTAACCAGGCGAGTTATAACGGAAGCATGTGACGACATTTATTGTGTCATGACGTCAATGAAATTCCAGGGCAACGTCATATCAGTCCAGGATGACGTTATGGCCTCCTCCCAAGTGTAAGAAAAGTATACGGCTTTTGACTAGCTTACAGATATACTTCGTCCTAATGTCAGGCTATTGATGACAAACAAGTAAAAACATGCATTTCGTTTTCCACACTTCAGGCCTTCAGATTCACGATGTACACACAGGCGCTGGTTACACTCCATCTTGTCGTTACTACCACTTTCAATATCTATGTATTTACTGTATCACAATCGAAGAAGTACTTTCAAGTGTCAAGGGATGTCAGTTCATAAATATGTTCTACATTTAAGATTGTTTTAAAGTGCTTATAATAGTAACATCTTGAATCATGTATAGAGGACGACCTTGACTGTTGCAAGTTATCAGACAAGTTTATGTAACCCGAATGTTTTTTAATATTAAACAGTATTATGAACATGAGTCAATAAAAGTTTGAATCTCCGACGAGTGCGGATATATTTGAGATTAAGATAAACAAATGTTTATGAATCACTGTCAAACAGTGATGATACCAGCGTATCCTGCCCAACCGGTGGCACCCGTTACAAACACATGCAAAGGCAAGCAAATTGTTCACCTGAATAACACGGGAACACATGTTACAAGTCTGAATGAGGAATAGCCATGAGGAGGAGATTCTATTTATCATCCTACATCATTCTTCAAACGTTTTCATTTTGAAAACTGTCACATGCAGTCCTTGAATTAAAAAGTACTGCTAACCAGCTTTAGTGGTGGAGTTATTAATGATGTCATTAAAATGTGACGTCATGGTAACCGATGACGTCAGCATTGCCTGCAAAGCATTGTTATTAATTTTATTTTAGCGACATGGCCCACTAGAAATCGCTTGAACTGACCCAAGCGATATCTCCTGTGCACGCCTGTTTTGGGTGATAAATTAGCAATTATCAACCAACTGCAAAAGAATAGTTTGCACAATTGTTGCCCATGTCATAGGGCCACTGTCATCTAACGAGTTTAATTTTATAAAAGCTTATCTATATAGATTCAATAACGTTACATGGGGAGGGTCACCTAGATTTCTGAATAAGTATATTGCGGAAAGGAAATTATTATAAACTCACCAATGTATTAATTAATCTGCGTTTGCTTCCAGGAACATCTTCTCCCATCACGACTGCCAGGCCCGGAGAAACAGCAACTACTCCAGAGGATCCTCTACCATTGTATCTGATAATTGTTATTATAGTTATTGGAGTGGTTCTCCTTATCGCCCTCATCATTATCATTATCATCATCTGTGTTAAGCGTAGAAAAAGAAGTCAGAAATATGCGGTTGAGGAGGCTCGCAAAGCCTATGAAAAACGTCCTCCCTCCCCTGGAATGGTGCATCCAAATGGGGGACTGCCACAGTCACCTGATTATGAAAATAAGGAAAGGAATGGACGTGTTTGGTACGGAAGGGAGGAGTCTGGTGATCTTGGCACAACGGAGGCAACTTCAGCAATAGAACTGGAGGAAACAGTTCCCGATCATACCGGAGAGTCTGAAGACGTAAACGCAAACACACAAAGGGGTCTTGAGGACATTGGGTCAGATGAAACAACGGCAGATGGAAGTATGTTCAACGAAATTGCAGAGCCTACCGAGGATAAGGCAAAGGAACACAATTATACAGGGGAATCTGATTCTAGGGGAAATGTTCTCCCAGAAAATGAAGTATCCTTCGAGGGGACATCTGACAAAGGGAGTGATAAGAGCCCCGATGAAGGTGATAACGATGTATCTGATAAATCTATGTTGGAAAGAGTGGACGAGTCCGAAAAACAGAGTGACCAACACAACGAGGAGTCGGTTTTACAAGCGTTTGATGAGTTTGGGGATTCCGACGATGACAATGAAAGTGGTGGTACTGGCAACGATGACAATGAATGTGGTGGTACTGGCAACGATGACAATGAATGTGGTGGTGCTGGCAACGATGACAAGGAATGTGGTGGTACTGGCAACGATGACAAGGAATGTGGTGGTACTGGCAACGATGACAATGAATGTGGTGGTACTGGCAACGATGACAATGAAAGTGGTGGTACTGGCAACGATGACAAGGAATATGGTGGTACTGGCAACGATGACAAGGAATATGGTGGTACTGGCAACGATGACAAGGAATGTGGTGGTACTGGCAACACCGGAAATAGTGACTTATCTTTGCATGATCCTAATGGTGTTGGCGAGTCAGTGTGAATTCCAGGGACTGGAAAACAAGAACATGTCGAAGGTGAAGAAACTTCAACGCTCCAAGGAGGTGCACTGAGTCAAAACTGGATAATTTAATGTTATTACGACAGTGTGATGCTGAGGATCACTTTCATGCTGAAAACCAGGACTCACTTCCTAAAACGTCGCGCCACGCCAACTGCAAGCGTGTATTGAACTATTGGAACGGCACCACCGTAGAACAGGTGCTACAACTGTAGGCGATGTATAATGGGATTAATGCCGCGCACGTGTGTGTGGGTGCGTGTGCGTGTGCGTGTGCGTGTGCGTGCGTGCGTGCGTGCGTGTGTATGTGTGTGTGAGTGAGTGAGAGAGAGTGTGTATGTGTGCGTGTGTGCGTGCGTGCATCACGTGAGTGTGTTCGAGGCTGGTAAATATCCCGCATTAGAAATAAGCATCTAACCCAAGATTACGTTTTGTTATAGTGTGTCTGTCTGTCTAACGTTACGAAGTGTCCTCGCGAAGTTGTTTCGCAGTTGATATCTCCAAAGTTACCAAGACTTGTAAAATGCCTTGGCTACGTACGCCACAGCTAGACATTGTTTTTTTAAGTATATTAGATTTATTTTTTTATAATGATAGGAATTAGCACAGTAGTTTCTCCAAATTCCCGATGTTTAGTTCTGACACGATCGCCGAACGACAAGTGCGCCGCCAAGTTTGTTCCGCATATGAATATCTTTTTTTTGCGTTGGCTTTATCCTGTCGAGACCTACCTATATCATAAATATAAATATTGTACATTTGTGTTTTATATGACGTAGAAAATATGTTGTAATTAACGTAATATAAAAAATAGTTACTAATATTTACATGTCGTTATGCTGTTGTATATTGCCCATTGCTATTATTAGTTCATATTGACTGATAAAGTGTGAGCCTCGCGTAGAAGGAACTGCGGAATAGTGAATCATTTCTGGTGGACATTGCAGGATTTCAAAGAGATGTATCTCCGCAAACATGAGTCAGTTGAGCACATTGTTTCGCTGTGACAATAAGCAGGGACATGTGCCTTTTGGAAATGGGACAAACTTGAGGACCATGCAGTGAACAAGTACTTACAGACTGTTGTTTGGACTCAGGAGGGAAATCTGAGGACCATGCAGTGAACAAGTACTTGCAGAATGTTGTTTGGACTCAGGCGGGAAACCTGAGGACCATGCAGTGAACAAGTACTTGCAGACTGTTTTTTTGGACTCAGGCGGGAAACCTGAGGACCATGCAGTGAACAAGTACTTGCAAACTGTTTTTTGGACTCAGGCGGGAAACCTGAGGACCATGCAGTGAACAAGTACTTGCAGACTGTTTTTTGGACTCAGGCGGGAAACCTGAGGACCATGCAGTGAACAAGTACTTGCAGACTGTTGTTTGGACTCAGGAGGGAAACCTGAGGACCATGCAGTGAACAAGTACTTGTAAATTTATGTTTGGACTCAGGCGGGAAACCTGAGGACCATGCAGTGAACAAGTACTTACAGACTGTTGTTTGGACTCAGGCGGGAACCCTGAGGACCATGCTGTGAACAAGTACTTGCAGACTGTTGTTTAGACTCAGGCGGGAAGTGGTGAACCCAGGATTCCTCCATAGTCTCACGTCGCCTCCGTGGTCTAGTGGTAGAGCGTCCGCCCGGAGAGCGGAAGATCCAGGGTTTGATCCCCGGCCGCGTCAAACGAATAGACGTTAAAAAATGGTACTTGTTGTTACCCTATTTGGCGCTCGGCATTAAGGGGCTAAAACAAAGACTGGTCGTCTCGGAGTCAGAATACTGTGTCTCAGTGGGGTATTCATGTTAAACTGCGGCATGGTATCTCAGTGTGCTAGCACTCTAAATCGGCATCAGTCCGGACTAGTACAATCAGCCACACACACACACACACACACACACACACACACACACACACACACACACACACACACACACACACACACACACACACACACACACGTACATGCACGTCGCTATATGAGTGCATAAATCTGGGACGCGACGTTTAACCCAATTTCACCTCACCTCACCTCACCTCACCTCCATAGTCACAAATCGTTGCAAGAACCTTTTAGGAACAGCTTCAAACAGATGTCAAGCTTCGGAACCCAACGATGTATGCTTCAGTGCCAAAGTGTCTGTGAAAATGGAATGTACTCCTTGGAAATAACCAACCGAAGTTGCAAATATGCTGTCACCTTACACTGAACTGTAAAAAATGTGTTTGGGTACTAAAAACAAACGTAAACAGATCCTTGTCCCATAACTGAGACATGTTTCGGTCTTAACATGTTTGGGGTTGTGTTTAACAGCTGAACGTGTTTAGGGTCTATATTAAATGTGTATACCCTCCTTGACATTCATTGTAGGTAATTTAAAATAGTGATGTTTTCTGTGTCTTATTAGCGTTTAATAGGAAAAAAAGTGACTGTGTGGGGTGGGGTGGATAAAAGCTATTTTAGCAGTATAAATGGATTAATCTGGCGGTGGGATACGAAACTGCAACGTGTTGATTTGTTGTCTTTCTCGCTACCACCTGTGCTACCGCGACTGTTGTAGTCACAATTGTTAATTGTCCTTGTCAGCATTAACCGAGTTTGGTTAAGTTGTACATTTTAATGTTAATATTGTACCAAGTTCATTGCAAGTCCTGGTGGTATATGTGTTATGCAAGTGCGTGTCAATCTGATTTGCACATCTAATTTCAATATATATTATACATCTTACCCATATTTGACTTTTTGCCGAAATATATGAACTTTATTGAAACAGGTTTAAATTCTAAACGTGCATTACATGTCGTGTCTACTTAATTTGTGAGGAATTCGAAAGACAGAAGTGACGTTGGCCATAGTGAGTGAGTGAGTGAGTTGGGTTTAACGCCGCTTTTAACATTATTCAAGTTATGTCACGGCGTGTCAGCATAATGTGGGAGGAAAGCCCGAAGTGATGCAGGTCTCAGACGTTTACCACTTCCGTGAAACCCACGAGCACGGGTATGGTGCTGACAAACCTAGAAACATAATCGGGGTGAACCGGGATTCGAACCCACAATCATAGGTTTCTGGCGTGCCCAAAGGGGCGCAACTCTGCACAGCGAATCGCGGCGCCTAAGACGACGGTGGCCATAAGCCTTTACCGCTTGGGTAAACTCTACGAACACAGATATGTTACCGGTGGACCTGCTTACCTTTTCCGCGAGCACCTGGTGTCATCACTGATTTTCAATGATCCATTCACATAATTTGTTCCAGTATTTTACCTTTTACCCCCTACTGAATCCACTTTGGCTGATAATCGGCACTGAATATTCGCTGGCATTGACGTTTTATATTTAGAGACAAAAGACTATATTTGGAGGGAGTCCGGGATTCGAACCAATTCGATCTGCGGATCCTGTCACGGTTAAGTGCCGCAACTCTACGGCGCGTCAAACCACTGGGATCCCCGTCCCCCCTGTAGAGGCAAGCCATCTATAAACATGAGCCCCACTTGAGTTATGTATCGTCGTACATGTCCTACAAGTAAGCTTTTGTGTGTAGAAGTCGTGATCTATACCACCGTGTTTTGTATAAAGTCAAAATGATGCACGTGTCTTGTGCGTGTGCCAGGAGTTCGTATTCACTGCACGATTCCATTGTCCGATTTCTGAAGCTTGAATCACACAAATACACCGTGGTGACACAATGCATCGACTGATCAGATCGCTATCAATTGACAGCGTAATGTGCGTTGCTCGTTATAGATGTATATATACACGCGAGACCTACACAATAACAGATCTCGCGTAGATTTACGTTGCAGACTTTACGCCTTCACATTGATCTGTACTAAAAACCGAAAGAAAAATCTTATTCAAAATTTTCAAATAACTTTTAATGAACCTATCGAAACAGACGTAAAATGTATCTTTCTGGCGTATGTGTACTCGAAAAAGTGAGTGAGTATGGTTTTACGCCACTTACAGCATTATTCCAGCAATTTCTCGTCGGGGGACACCAATAATGGGCAACAAACGGGTCTTCAGTGTGACGTGCCAACGCTTATACCACAAGGCTGTCCCACTTACTAGGCTTCAAGTACAAAAGTTGCAAGGATTTTCCATGGAACTTACCTGGGACAGAGAGATGTACTGTAGAAGGTACCTGCTAAAAGTCCCCTTAAAACAATAGCAAGACGTCTCTTAAGGTTTATAAATCAGGTGTAAAGGACGGATCATAATATTATCTCGGGGGTAGAGAGGGGTGGGGGCTGGTGGGCGGGGTGGGGGTAGGGGAGAGAGGGGGTAGGGGGGACTGGGACATGACGGAATAGTGTTTGACTATATCGTGAATGTAAATACACAGCCATGTTATCTCAGTGTGCTAACACTATAAAACCGGCGTACATCCGGACTAGTTCAAGCAGCCACACACACACACACACACACACACACACACACACACACACACACACACACACACACACACACACACACACACACACACTGCATACACATCATCAACAGCACACGCGCTATATTCGTGCAATAATCTTGAACGTGACGTTAAACCCACCTCACGTCACATGTTGTATGACATCATACTTATGCCTGTTATGGTGTCTTCATTGATTCGTGAGAGCAGGATTTATAAATGATTCCTTTCATCATGAGTGAGTGAGTGAGTTGGGTTTAACGCCGCTTTTAACATTATTCCAGTTATGTCACGGCGTGTCAGCTTAATGTGGGAGGAAAGCCCGAAGTGATGCAGGTCTCAGACGTTTACCACTTCCGTGAAACCCACGAGCACGGGTATGGTGCTGACAAACCTAGAAACATAATTGGGGCGAACCGGGATTCGAACCCACAATCATAGGTTTCTGGCGTGCCCAAGGGACGCAACTCTGCACAGCGAATCACGACACCTCCTTTCATCATAAGTGTCCACTATTATAAACATTGGAAAGTGCAAGATTGAAAGTGATGGAACATGCTACCCAAAAAACACGCCTGAGTCAACCAGTGGTTTAGTCAATGCACGTGCAATACATGACAAGTAACAGTCAATGTGGGCTGGAATATTGCTGAGGGCGGCGTTAAACAACAAACAGACAGACAAGCAACAACATCCACTCGCGCACTTAAAACAAATCTCATTTAATTGTAAAACACATCAATCAGGCGATGTCATTTGCTTTATTCTGTTCATTGGTCCTATGTATATTTCTACAACTACACGAGTGTGTATATTTCAAATAAATTAAAATCTCTCTATCAGTAGTATTTCCTGAATTGCAAACAGCAGACCCAAGGCTTGCACAATGCTCAACTCCTGGGACTGTTTGCACGAACTGATCTTAGCTCTACACAAGTTATTATATACAATATTTGTCGCTAAAAGAAGGCCAAGTGGCTCAGTGGCTTAAGTCGACTCAACACCTGGGATGTGCTTGTTGTGAGTTCGAATCTAACGTTCAACTTAATTTAATCTTTGTTTTGACAGCACCATAGTCGTAATCACGTGATCGGGGCCATTGGTGGCAAGGACGTCCTTTAGGAGTGCCAGAATCTGTGTTCGTGGGTTCGATCATCCTTATCCCGGCGGTTGGGTAGCCTAGTGGGTAAAGCGTTCGCTCGTCACGCCGAAAACCCGGGCTCGATTCCTGATAGGGGTACAATGTGTGAAGCCCATTTCTGGTGTCCCCCGCGGTGAAATTGCTGGAATATTGCTAAAAGCGGTCAGTCCAAGCGGTAATTACCTTCTGATTTGTCTTATTTTCTAAGGGAATTTAATGAACGGTCTTGTCTTCCATAACAAGTCATGAAAGTCTTTTATTCCATAGAAATTCTAGAATGGCCGTGTCTTCCACAAAAATTCTAGAACGGTGTTGTCTTCCATAGAAATTCATGAAAGGTCTTCTCGTCTAAAGAACACCAGCAAGATTTGACAACGAGATTTCCCCGGTATTTCAGCATAGCAAGATTAACATATGGGCCAGTAGCATCGACACATGGTATTAACGTCCAGGTAAACACGATTGCGGGTTTAACGTCACAAAACATGATTTATTTACACTAACTATATGTATGTCTCTATTTACTGATCACATCGCTAAATTTATGACGACGTTGGTGACAAGACATGTCCTCCGATCAGTCTAAAACTCAAAAGAATAATCGATATGACATAAGGCCAATTCCTAACAGTGCACTAACAAGACTTGCACACTAGCTGGGACAGGTGCGTGAAGCTCCGTCCAGTAATTTAAGATTTGAGGATTGACGCAAAATGTGCACATCAGATTTACGTTTATAACTCCATAAACACACAACAACTGTCGGGAACAGTGCGACATCAGTGACATCGTTGAGTGTCATATGTTACACCAGCCCCGCCCATTCAACTAATCAGGAAATATGGGTTGTCTGTGGGCGTGGCCTAATGAATGTTTTCGGTTGATTGAAAAAATAAAGGCAAAACTGTTGCTTGGCCAGCCAGTCAAATACCACAGAATCGCTTGCAATGCATGTATAGCAATAATACAATCACAATGATACTTTTGTTAATCCATGTTGAAATATTTTGACACCCACCCTTCTCCTTGGCACGGTAACTGACATAAGATGTCACATTTCCTCTAACCCATCGAATACTAACCACACCGACATATTAAATGCACTGATTTAAGATACTTCAGTGTGAAATACTGAGTTTTCGGAAGTTGAGAAAAGTGAGGCTTTAACTGCAGTGAACAGAACACTTGATATTTCACTGCAGTAAACATAACGCCTTGCCGGAACTATTGTCCTACAAGAGTTACCTCCCCGTAAAATATCAAAGCGTGACGCCAGTACACAAACTGTTGACGTCCTCATTACAGCCGTTCCACACTGAGATGGCAACATAATGGTAGATGGAGTTAATATCGCAGATTCCCGTTTGTTATTGTCTCAACAATGTTTCGTTATAAAGCGGAAATTTCTCATTTTAGTTACTTGAACAACGTGTATTCTTTCGCTTCCATCAACGGTCTCGTAGATTTCAAGAATATTTTTTGAGTTAATTTTGTATATAATCATAACCAAATTCAAATCAAATATTTTTTGTTACTTTTGTTTACATTTCTTACGATTTTGCGAATACGGAACTACTTTTTATTCGCAATTACAGGGGATGGTGAAGCGTCTATGGGTGAAAGGTAAGGAGAATATACGTTTCAAGGTTTAACATTTTAACTTTTCGGTACACAACTACACAATACGTTCTAATAAATAGGATAGTCCATGTGTCTCGTGTGACGGGGAAAAGGAGATATTTCACTCGTTTTGCTTGCTACACCACTTGGGTTTGTTTGTTGTTTAACGCCGCACTCAGCAATATTCCAGCTATATGACGGCGGTCTGTAAATAATCGAGTCTGGACCAGACAATCCAGTGATTAATATCATGAGCATCGATCAACGCAAGTGGGATACGATAACATGCATCAACCAAGTCAGCGAGCCTGACCACCCGATCCCGTTAGTGGCCTTGCCGAAGACCTATTCTACCCCGGATCTTCACGGGTCACGCCACTCGTGAAAATATTTCCTTCGCCACCCCGGCCACTCGATGACAGAAAAATGATGTTAACACATGGTATCCTCTATATACTAACAACATCGATATCATGACCACACCGGCATACTAACTACACTCACATACTAACTACGCTCACTTATTAACCACACTCTGATTCTCATCATACACACATACTAACCACACTCACATACTAATTACTCACATTCTAACCAGTCACATACCAACCACTCTCGTATACTAACCACACTCACATACTAATTACTCACATTCTAACCAGTCACATACCAACCACTCTCGTATACTAACCACACTCACATACTAATTACTCACATTCTAACCAGTCACATACCAACCACTCTCGTATACTTACCATACTCACATTTTACCCGCACTCACCTACTAACGACACTCACATTATGATCCTACTCACATTTTACCACACTCACATACTAACGACACTCACATTATGATCCTACTCACATTTTACCACACTCACCTACTAACGACACTCACATTATGATCCTACTCACATTTTACCACACTCACATACTAACGACACTCACATTATGATCCTACTCACATTTTACCACACTCACATACTAACGACACTCACATTATGATCCTACTCACATTTTACCACACTCACATACTAACGACACTCACATTATGATCCTACTCACATTTTACCACACTCACCTACTAACGACACTCACATTATGATCCTACTCACATTTTACCACACTCACCTACTAACGACACTCACATTATGATCCTACTCACATTTTACCACACTCGCCTACTAACGACACTCACATTATGATCCTACTCACATTTTACCACACTCACATACTAACGACACTCACATTATGATCCTACTCACATTTTACCACACTCACCTACTAACGACACTCACATTATGATCCTACTCACATTTTACCACACTCACATACTAACCACACTCACATAATACTAACCACGCTCACATACTAACTACTTTCACATACTAACCACACTCACATACTAACCACGCTCACATTATGATCCTACTCACATTTTACCACTCTCACATACTAACCACACTCACGTACTAACCACACTCACATACTAACCACACTGACACACTAACCACTTTCACATACTAAACACACACACATACTAACCACGCTCACATACTAACTACTTTCACATACTAACCACACTGACTTACAAAACACACTCACATACTAACCACTTTCACATTCTATGCACTCTCACATACTAACCACGGTCACATACTAACTCCTCTCACATACTAACCACACGCACATACTAACCACGCTCACATACTAACTACACTCACAAGTGTATAATACTTTTGAATTTGAAAAGGAGACAGATAATGAATCAGTCGTTGTCTTGTATGTCCTGGCATTCCCTCTGTATGCCATGACAGTAAGGAGTGTGTATGTTTGATACATACACGCTCCTTACTGTCATGGAATACAGACATTTGCCATGACACATTACTGTGACAATCTGTTGCATATCGGTGTTTCTAAATGTTATGCGAGCTATTGATAAATGGTAGAATAAATTAGAAACTGAGATTGTCTCCATGGTCAAGTCCAAAAGTAAGTCTTTGTAGCCTGAATACACAGTTAAACCCTGGGCGGAGTTTAACACATAATATATAACCAAATCGTCATTCTGGTATTATATATACTTTTATTCATCACAGTTAAAATATGTGATCACTCAGACAGCAGTCAAATGCGCTTGAATTTCGGCCATATCCGCTCTAAAACACAAGCTAATTTCTGGTTGTTATTTTGACAACATGTACGACGTTTCTGGTGAAAGAAAGTGATGAGTGAGTGAGTGAAATGGAGTTTAACGTCGCGTTCAAGATTATTGCACTTCTATAGCGACGTGTGTGTGTGTGTGTGTGTCTGTGTGTGTTTAACAGTTTAACAGTTAAACATGAATAACCACTCAGATACAGTGTACTGACTCCGAGCCGACCAGTCCTTGTTTTAGCCCCTTAATGCCGAGCGCCAGGCAGGATAACAACAAGTACCATCTTTTAACGTCTTTTGGTATCACGCGGCCGGGGATCAACCCCGGAGCTTTCGCTCTCCGGGCGGACGCTCTACCTCTAGACCACGGAGGCAGTGAGTAAGTGAGTTGGTGGGTGAGTGGACGGGTGGGTGCTTGGGTGGATGTGTGGGTGGATGGGTAGGCGGGTTTTGTTTGACTGAATGGTCCTCTACAACTAAGCCATCTTTAATACAGAAAACAGGCAGACATTAAACTAAGTGACGTTGAGTCACATGACCGTGAGGTGGGATGCAGACCTCAAACGTTTACCTACGTGCGCAGGCAAGGTGCTGACAATCCTAGAATCTTGGATTCGAACCCACGACCATAGGTTTCTGGCATGTCTAATTCATATGTATTCGGAATGTTCATTTTAATATGTCCCTAGTACCATAATAGATATATCTTGCTATCTGACCAAATGTCGTATTCATTGTTTTAATTCCAGTGGGTCCGTGTTCGGTGTCATAGAGCCTGTACCACAGATGCATGGCGTAGTTCCTCGACCAGTCATACACGTCTTTATATATCAAGTTTATATCCAATCCACTTGGGTAGTTCAGAGTCTTTTCCTCCACGTGGATTAAATGCGGATACGTAAACTGCAAATAATACGGGATAATAGAGTCGTGATAATCCCACTCTCGCTTTGAGAAGTTCCTGTAAGTATTCAACCAGAGTGAAAGGAATGTCGCATTAGGAGCCGAGACTATAATACCGTTGTTTAATCTCCCTGGGGTACCGTGGTACTCAATACCCATCGTAATCCCATAATGTCTAAGGGGATTAAACGATTTCAAAGCAATGACGTCAGTATCCATATAAATTCCGCCATATTTCTGCAGAATCTGAATCCGAGCAATATCGGATTTATGTTCCGAACGGATCACCATATTTCCATAGATTTCCGTTGGAGCTTTTCTGTCCACAATCCTCAGAATAGGAATAGTTTGTTTAATGACTTTCCACCATTTTCCCACCGGCTTATGATTGCAGTGGAATAAAATCCGATCAGGTTTTAAGATGCTGTAGGCTGATTTGATGCTCAAAAGATGATGAAATCTAAACTTCAGATCTTCTCCAAACCACACGAAATGAACGATGTTCGGCACAACAAAATGATCGGACTTGTTCAGGAGTGACGTAATTTGTCCAGTTGGTGACGTCACGGGGACTACTTCGACATGTACTTGTTCATGCACGCTGTTTTCTTGAAGATAGAGCGCACACAGACTCACTGACATGCATGTCAGTAAGACTGAAATATACAACTGCCGCCTGCGTGTGGATTTCAAAGCCATCTTGCGTGAAACATGTGATCCGTTGCCTGAAATTAACAGTAAAGATATGTGAAACACAGTTGAAACATATGTAATAACAAAACATCACTTTTTACTTATATTAAGATATGTATGTTTCGGTGTGGGAAGGGGAGGTTGGCGTGGCGAGTGATTGGTCGTGTCCCCTAGTCGTGACAGGATCCGCTTGCCGTGGTTTCAAATACAAAATTCGCCCTGATTATTTTCCTTGGTTTGTGAGCACCATACCCGTGACCCTTTGATTCCTCATGGATCGAGTGGTCAGGCTCGGTGACTTGGTGGACTGCGCGTGATCGTACCCCGGCGGCGTAGATCGTTGCTCACAATATCAATCACTGGATTGTCTGGGGGCACGGGTGGCCCAGTCGTCTAAGGCGCCGCGACTCGCTGTGCAGAGTTGCGTCCCTTGGGCACGCCAGAAACCTATGATTTTGGGTTCGAATACCGGTTCACCCCGATTATGTTTCTAGGTTTGTCAGCACCATACCCGTGCTCGTGGGTTTCACGGAAGTGGTAAACGTCTGAGACCTGCATCACTTCGGTCTTTCCTCCCACATCAAGCTGACACGCCGTGATATAACTTGAATAATGTTAAAAGCGGCGTTAACCCCAACTCACTCACTCACTCACTAGATTGTCTGGTCCAGACTCGATTATTTACAGGCCGCCGTCATAGAACATATTGCATATTGCTGAATGCGGCGTTACACAACAAACGAAACAGATGATGGTTAACTATTTTGGGATATTTGTGACTACGTACAGATTTTTTATTAATGACGCTTCCTTTCGCTTTGTTTTGCGTGTATACACTAATCTTTATTAATCGACAACAAACATTATTGATTGTTGATGGCTAGTGTGGTTTGTTTGTTTGTTTGTTTGTTTGTTGTTTAACGCCGCAATATTTCAGCTATGTGACGGGGGTATGTAAATGATCGAGTCACAATCCAGTGATTGGCATCATGCACAACTGAGATACGATGACATGCAACAACAAGGTTAGCGAGACTGACCACCCGATCCTGTTAGTCAACTCTTAGGACAAGCGTGGGTTGGTGAAGACCTATTCTTTACGGGTGGCAACTGTAGTGTTCTACGTGGCATCAGAAGGTGTAGTATGAACGAATCCGATTTCACTTATGCAGTTCAACCTCTTTATTGTTTGAGTTGTTGATCACCAGTAGTTGAAACCCGTCAGTCAACTCTGTGTTCATTTACTGCAGTGAATAAATAATCGGTGGGATGAAATGGGATGGAACATCGCGATCAAGATTATTGTCTGTGTGTGTGTGTGTGTGTATGTGTGTGTGAGCCTGTGTGTATGCGTGAATGTGTGTATTTATGTGCGATTGTGTGTGTATGTGTGTCTGTATGTGTGTATGTGTGTCTGTATGTGTGAACGTGTATGTGCGTGAATGTGTCTTGGGGGGGGGGGGGGGGGAGTGTGTGTGTGTGTGTGCGCGCGCGCGCGTGCGTGCGTGCGTGCGTGCGTGCGTGCGTGCGTGTGTGACCTAATGTATTATGTTTTGTTAATTCCCAAATTGTCTTATATGTGCACTAAGTCTAGATTGGGATAGTCCCATTTAGTGCTGACCGTATTAATCCCTACTCCATTGTCTGACTGAGGGGAGTAAACCCGTAGAGCGGGGACAGATTTAGAAGATTAACGGTTTGGGGATAAAGCAGGTTACGATGACCGCCAGGTGGCGCTGACTAATGATGTGTGAAAGGTAGCACTGAAGCGATACGTTTAAACAAAACATACATATTGCTTGCTGTTAATGAGCACATGGTATGTCGCCCCGACACACCTGCTGTGCTGCTGCTGCTGCATGCGTACTATAGCATCCACAAACACTAAGCAGTTGACAAGGAGTAGAATCGCATAACACACACATAGTTGACACAAGGACCTGAATAACCATATGCGATAAAATAGACTTTACTTTTGGAATATCTGAACGAAAGTATAATTGTCACGCCGACACATGGCTTTGCTCGCGTGAGTTTTAATTTTACAAAATCTTCTTCTAGTATATTCAGTATGTGACCCGTCAAGATCCGGTGGAGAATAGGTCTTCAGCAACCCATGCTTGCCGTAAAAGGCGACTAACGGGATCGGGAGATCAGGCTCGCTGACTTGGTTGATGCATGTCATCGATCCCAATTGCGTGGATCGACGCTCATGATATCAATCACTGGCCATGGGTTGTCTGGTCCAGACTCGATTACTTACAGACCGCCGTCATATAGCTGGAGTATTGCTGAGTGCGGCGTTAACCAACAAACAAACAAACAATATTCAGTATGTTCTAACTCGGTAATATTATGTAATCATCACGTATAATGTACTCCCGCGGGGGAACTTTAGGAAGAAGTTTGTTTATTTAAATAATCTCGCAAAACGTTCACTTTTTTAATCAATATTATTTTTAATTATTTTCCAGGCCAATGGTTATTTCGATGTTATTAGTCACATATATTCTGTATCGACGAATACCCCTAATATACAAATCAACACACGATGAAAATAAACAAATGCTATTAACATTTCCCTGTAATAGACACTTGTCAACGTCAATCAATTATAAACACATACCTAATATATCACATCACCGCTGTTTTTCTTGATCCTATAGGAAAAAGCAGTCCAGGCCTCAGTGGTCAAATCGGGCGATGGTGGGCACAGCCAGCCCTCGAATGACCACAAACGGGCCCAGTACAATCGATCTGACAGCCTGGCAAACAACAACACGGTCCCAGGCCACCAGCCTGCGCTAATGCACCCTTTCGCCCTGTTGTCAGTGTCAGGATATATTGAAAACTAGAGTAGGTTTTGTTTAAACATGTTCTGATGACGGCCATTGTTATACGATGCCCTGATCATGCATAGCCTAGGACTTGGATTGACTTTGCGTGACTGATAAGCGGGGAGTATACTCTGCGTATTTGTCGGGTTTCGATCGTTGTACAGTTTTTTTAAACTAGTATTGATTGCAATTAGTCAGTAGGGCTCGTATATCTTCAGCTCGATTTTCTTTCACTGTGTTTATCAGACCGCGCTAGGAGTAATTTATGGCTGACTGATAGCGGTCTGAGCACTGTCATTAAACTTTAATGTCTTGTTTTTTAAGTGTTTCTGGAACCTGAAATAAGGTACTTAATCATTCTTGTCTGGATCAGTGTTTCGTGATCACAGCGTCAATCGGGCAAAATACCAGGTCGTGTAAGCGTAGAAATCAATAATATTGATACGTGCTTGTGTTTCATGGGACGGCCACACTCAGAGTGTATGATGGCTACTGGTGTATTATCTTACTGCGTGGTTTGGTTGCTGGACGGAGTGTATCAGCATATATATATATATATATATATATATATATATATCTCACACACACACACACACACACACACACACACACACACACACACACACACACACACACACACTTGGACGCGACGTTAAACCGCATTTGACCTCACCTCACCTCTGGGTGTAATGAGGGGCGGTCGGGTAGCCTAGTGGTTAAAGCGCTCGCTCGTCACGCCGAAGATCCGGATTCGATTACCCACATGGGTACAATGTTTGAAGCCCATTTCTTGTGTCCCCCGCCGTGATATTGCTGGAATATTGCTAAAAGCGGCGGAAAAAAGATTCACTAACTGAATGTTTTTATGCATCTTTCAATGTTAAGGATTATGTTAAGTATGGCAAATTCGATTTAAGCCCAATCCCACAAGTGCGGAGTTAGTATGAGATTGTGACTCAGTGAGAAGAAAACGTGGTTCACAGGTTGACTAGAATTTCACCCACCTATAAGTCTTTGAAACGAGATCATATTTTTTTCGTGATTTTCTTTCGGGAATTGTGCAAACCGCTGACTTGTTCTATTTTCTCATAAGACCACATGAAATAGATGTCCTGTCACCCGTTTCCTCATAAACACATTGTGTCAAAGATTCGGTTTGTGTTGTTTCTGATCTGGTGAGGCTCCCAGTCATATCCGGACAAGCGCAGAGTAAACCGAAATGTGAATTACTCATTCTGAACTGTGCTCACAGGGGCTCTCCAGCTAAATTCAGATGCGGAGTGGCGCCTTTAAAGATAGAGACTGGGCGTTACACAAACATACCACCAGAAGAGAGATGTTGCTTTAATTGTACAGACAAGGTGGAAGACGAGATCCAGGGTTTACTTATCTGCCCTTTATACGACCACGTGACGGCTGATCTTCTGAATCGCTGTAGTCTTAAATTTACTAATTTTAATAATTAGTCTTATAGTGAAAGGTTTACACAGATTTTATCAAACGTTGATTTTATTTCTTGCGTGGCCAAAACCTGCCATAACATTTTAGCAAAGCGACGTTCCATTTTATATCATTATGTATATATGTAATATATCTTATCGCTGTGTATGACTGATTATTTTCAATGACATATTGTCTCTCGTAAGTCTAGCGACTGGCTTTACAATTTTATGTTTTTTCTTCTTTTGATATATTGTAAGTGTATTCTACGAGTGAGACAAAAATAAACCTGTCTGTCTGTCTTCTGAGTGAGTGAGTGAGTGAGTGAGTGAGTGAGTTAAAGATTAACGTCGCATCGGCATTATTTCAGCCAAATAGCGACGGAACCAAGTTAGTATATATACAATTTAGTAAAATATGCAAAGTTTTTTTTTAAAACAAGCTGTGAAACATATTTGAGCATAACAATATGATGTTTACAGTTTTAAGTGTGAGTGAGCGAGTCTGTCTTCTGCACACATGCAAACTTCAGAGAAAACATTAAGGATCGGAATGTCTATATTCAACACATTTTGAAATAATAAATCACATATGTTATTCTAGCTAGCTAAGTGTATATAATGCCACTCTTTAACCCTACAAAGACACCCTGAACTGCGAGGCGACGAATGCTACTACATGTACATAATACCACACTTAAACAAAACAAGCAAGTCCTGTACCAAACGAGTGCCCAGTTTTCCACCGATTGGATCTTTTGTCAGTTTACATCACGCCCCTGTTAGCAAACTGTTGATGTTACTATTTGTTGACCGTTTTGGTCATGTCTCGCTGTTTGTACCGTCAGTCCGTGGCAATATTTATCTAGCTCTCTGCGTGTGTGGCAAGCATTAGTTCAGAGGCCGTGACGTTACAAACTCCATTAGTCCACCTCTCCGACAGTCCAGTGCTTGGTTTATGTCTTGTTTTGTGTGACGTGTAGAAATAGTTATACAACATATAACTGCCTTTTTCAGGATTTGTGTCGAGTTGTAATAACATTTTGGGTACAAAAGTATTCTTCAAACAGACTTGCGGCTTGACTTTGTTGAGTGGGTCGGATTACAATTTAACCTCAAGCGACAAAGTAGCTCTGTGTGCTAAAAGCAACTATCATTGTGTCTACCACACAGGTATTGGCGACCGTAATTACAGAGCCCCACGCCAACCTATGCTGGTCTAAGAGACGACTGAATGGACCGGGTGGTCAGCCTCGGTGACTTGGTTGATTGCGTTCAATCGTACCCGACGATATGGATCGTTGCTCATAATATCAATCACTCGAATATTTGCAAAAATCTGTCTTTGCACACACATGCACACACACAGACACACAAACAAGCACACAGAAAAACACACACATGCATATAAACAAAGACACACACATACACACACATACATGCACACACTCACACGAGACAACGTCTCCGTTTCACACGTGGCAGTAATTACAGCTGTACCAAAACACCAGTGAATGAGTGAGTGAGTGAGTGAGTGAGAAGGATTGTATGCCCCTTTTATAAATATTCGACCCTTGATGGGTGACACCAGATATGGGCTTTACACACTGTACCCATGTGGAATCAAACTCGTGCCTTCGGCGTGACAAACGAACACTTTAACCACTAAGCTACCCTATTATCACTCCAGACCTCGGCACCAGGTTGTTGAGATAGCCGACAAGAACACAAGAAAAGATATATTTGGCGCAAGCTGAAGGCAACAATCATATACCCACGGGTAGCCATATTTCTAGTGATGAGGAAACCACTGTGTTTCATTGCACCTTTATAGTCCAACGCTATGGGGTAACAATATCATTACCCAATGGTGTTGAAATGGATATTTATACTTAAATATAAGAAGGATGAAAACGGTAAGTTTATTATTCTTGACACAACTATTGATGGTACAAGATTGACAAGATTGAAATAAACGAACAGTGTTAATGTACAATTATACAAGATGCACAAAAGACACCAAGACGCTAGGCTTTAATAGATTTAATCATCAAATAAACCGACGGCCAAAAGACGTTTTACCACTTTAAAAATGAAACTGCAAACATTTATAACTACAAGTTCGACCTGATAATATGTAATAGGTAATAATGGTGCCACATTATGTGGCCAGAAGAATACAGCAGTGTTGCAAAGTTGAGAGGAAATGTCCAGTACATGTCTACGAATAAAACACAATACAATGGAATGGACATGAATTACTTCATACCACGACAACTATACAGTATCCGATTGGTTGTAAGCGAACTACGTATGTTTGACAACCATTCACACGTAAAAATCGAGTATGAAAACTATGGCGAATTATAAAATGTTGGGCGAATTATTGTTGAGAATAGAGGCCGATTCTGTTTCTCATCAATAACACCAAGCACCAACTGTATTTGCCGCGTGAAACCAACTTATGACGTCACATGGGCAATGGTACTTCTTACAATGTTATTAATGGATAGTGAAGGTTGCTGATGCAGTGTCCGGTGATGGAGGTCTGGCTGACAGTAGTTTTCACTTGTTGAGAGCTGCCTTCAAACTAAATCATGATATATTATGGAAGCTGGTCACACTGGGTTTGGTGAAGAGAATGCATGGTGAGTTCAACACTGCGCTGATGAAGCAAGGCCAAGTTCATCATGGACGAAGGTCTACTGTCGACCATATCGTGAGCCGCAGACAATCCATTAACAGCTAATGATTGATAAGTAACAGATCTTCACGATCGAAAGGTTCATATTATCAATATTGTAAACAATCTAAAAATACAGAATCACTTATAGAGGACACGGTTAGCCCGGTTGTCTAAGGTGCCGCAATTCGCCGTGCAGTTGCCTCCCTTAGGCGTGTCCGAAACCTATGATCGTGGGTTTGAATTCCAGTTCGTCCTGATCATGTCTTGGTTTGTCAGCATCATGCTCGTGGAGTTCAGCAAAAGTGGTCAGCTTCGAAGACCTGTATAATTTCGGGCTTTCCTCCCCTGATATAACCCAAACACTGTTCAAGGCGGCGTTAAACACATCTCGCTCACTGATAACCATTTACCAGTTAAATACCGTGGGAGTAGAAAATATACTGATCGTGATACAGTGGTCGTTGTCGGTTTCATCTGATCTGGGTGCTCTGTATTGAGTAAGTAGCGTCTTACGTACTCTCACTCGTCAGACTCGTGAAGATCCGGTAGAATGACCTTCAGCAGCTCATGCTTGCCGGAAGAGTGAGTAAATGAGTATGGTTTTACGCCGCTTTTAGCAATATTCCAGCAATATCACGGCGGGGGACACCAGAAATGGGCTTCACACATTGTATCCATGTCGGGAATTGAACCCGGGTCTTCGGCGTGACGAGGCGACTAACGGGATAGCTTGGTCAGGCTCGCTGACTTTGTTGATGCATATCATCGCATCCCAATTGCGAAAATCGATGCTCATGATCTCCATCACAGGATTTACTGGTCCAGACTTGATTATTTGCAGACCGCCGTCATACGAGGGCTGGTCAAAAAGTTCTAAGCCTGACTAACTTTCAACCATGGGCCATAACAAAGTAAGTCTTATTAGTGAAGAAAGTTACGGCCACTGTATTCTGGTGTGCAAAGGGTGTGATCTTTGTTGATTGCACAGAAAGTCAAATGACAATTTCCGGTGCCTACTATGCTGATTTGCTTCATCGCCTGAGAGATTCTATCAAAGAAAAGCGGCGAGGAATGCTGACTGCTGGAGGTCTACTTTTTCATGACAATGCCTATTCTCACACCTCTCAACTTGCATGGGCTGCTTTGCGACAATAAGTGTTCGAAGAGCTTCCTCGCCCTCCATACTCGCCAAGTGATTTCCACCTGTTTCCTAAACTGAAAGAATACCTTCGTGGAAAGCGCTTTTGACGACAACGATGACCTCAAAACTGCCGTACATATTTTTTTCCTGCCTGGAACTGAAATGCTTCACTATCGATATGAGATGTGTATTGAAAAGTAGGGAGATTATGTTGAAAAATAATATTAAAAACACTTTCACAATTGTTGGTTTTGTTTGTTAGGCTTAGAACCTTTTGATCAGCCCTCGTGTAGCTGGAGTGAGTGAGTGAGTATGGTTTTACGCCGCTTTTAGCAGTATTCCAGCATTATCACGGCGGGGGACACCAGAAATGGGTCTCACACATTGTACCCATGTCGGGAATCGAACCCGGGTCTTCGGCGTGACGAGCGAACGCCTTAACCACTAGGCTACCCGACCGCCCCTTCGTGTAGCTGGAATATTGCTGAGAGCGACGTTAATCAGCAAACAGACAAACACTCATCAGGTGGTGAAACAGTGCATTGGTCACGTGTTTTGTCCCTGTCTGTATGCACAGTCTGTCTACACCCTGCCGGAGTACACAGACGATGTACTTGACCTGTCATAAAACACTGAAGGCCAAGAAGCGAACACGATCACAAGCGTCAATATATCATGGGGTCATGTCAAAAGTAGTTTAGCGGTACCAATCATTCAACTATTTGAAGTGGAAGTTTGAAATGACAATTTGTCAATATCCTATATTTTCGTGAAACGCGCAGGGTCTTGGTTCAAGTTTTATTCTTATCTGATCATGAATAGATTGTTTTTGTTAACTTGTATTCCTTGATGGTATGTGAAGTTAACAAAGGGACGTTGTTTGCAGTGGTATTGTTGAAATATAATAACGCCAAAAAGAAACCGTGCTTCATATAATGTGATGTATATCACATTGAAAATAACAACATAATGTGTGGCCATGCGTCTGGTCAATGTTTTATCCTAACCAATGACTGACAAAACCCCTTCCTGGGAACAGGAAACAGAGTGGAATGCCCTATTGGAGGGGTGGTTAACAACTCCAGTAACAATGTCAATATCGGGTGTGAGTGAGTGAGTATGGTTTTACGCCGCTTTTAGAAATAGTCCAGCATTGTCACGGCGGGGGACACCAGAAATGGGCTTCACACATTGTACCCATGTCGGAATCGATCCCGTGTCTTCGGCGTGACGAGCGAACGCTTTAACCACTGGGCTACCCGACCGCCACTTAATATCGGATGTGACCACTTTTTCCGTGATACCATTGCGCCATTCAAATTGCTATTAACAATGATGAGTTGTGTTCTCCCAGAGTTGTAATGCCACCCCTACATTGACGACGTTGAGTAACGCAAGCGTTGCTGAAACGTTCTCCTGGACGCCTCAAGACCATTGTACTACAATCAGAGCAGTCCAGACGAAACCTGGACATATCCGTGGCAATCTGATCCTAGATGCTGTCCACACCAGGCTTGTTTGTGCCTGGCGGTGACGTGGAGGCTACATTGGGCATATCGCGGAACGTCGGGCCGTATGTTGTGCTCCCTTCTTCTTCTCACGGGACACGAATGGCCCAGTCGTCTGAGGTACCACAATCCGCAGAGTTACGTCCCTTGAGCTAGCGAGAATCCTCTGATCGTGGGTTCGAATCCCATATTCGCCCTGTTAATATTCCTATGCTTGGCAAACGTCTAAGACCTGCATCACGTCGGGCTTTCCTCCCACACCAAGATAACACGCCGTGATATATTTTATAATACTGTTAAAAGCGGCGTTAAACACTCATGACTCACTCACTCAGTCAAACTTTATGACGTAATATCTTCTATGTGAAGACCATGCAGACTGCCCCCTTAGTACCCCCTACTGGCCGTAGGTGAGACCCAAGAGGGTCAGGTCGCTACAATGTGTCATCAAGCCGATTATGTACCATCGTGCGCTAAAGGCTGATCATGCTATGCATTTTGTGTATGCCCGTGTGATATAGATAAAAAATATGTTATGTTAATCCGTCAAATAAATTCAACATCCTTGCGAAAGTTGATCAAGTTAGACGTTTTGCGATAGCCTCTTGTTCTTGTAAAAGTGTTTTCCATGGTCCTTAGATAAAAATATGAATTGTGAATATTAAACTGTCAAATAAATTCATTTATCCTACAGAACTTAATAAATTTCTCTCATACGTTTTGTGATAGCCCCTTACCTTGTACAAGTATATACCTGAAATGGTATTGACGCTGTTGTACATTGCACCAGCTGCTCCCTTGTACCGAAATGTCAATTTCAGGTGTATTTATTTACGGAAGGTTTTGTGTGTTAATCTTTCAGTCTATCCAACAATCACCCCGTGTTCATTTCACCTTTTTAGCACCGACTGATATAAAGCTGAACTGATGTCAATCACTCTATCTCTTCATTCAATATCATGTTTGGGCGCCGAGTCAATGAAAGCCCAGTCAATGCCTCTCATATTCCCTCCTTGAGAGCTTAATTTAAGACTGACCTGGATCAAGGTGTCTGATGACTATTTGTAAGGGAGTATAGCAGTGTGCACTCAAGCTAACATACCAATTGTACCTGCCTTAAATTAATATGCAGTGCCGTCTCATGTTTAACTCATAGGGAGCGTTGGTGATGCCTTAGTGGTTAAAGCTGAAGGCCCGGGTTTGATTCCCCACAGGGTAAAATGGTGTCCCCCGCCGTGATGAGATATTACTAAAAGCGGCGAACGGAGACATGCATATTTGTTATTTGGTTATTGGGTGGTTGGTTGGTTGTTTTACGCCGCACTAAGCAATATTCCAGCTATATGACGGCGGTCTGTAAATAGGGTTTGGACCAGACAATCCAGTGATTGACATCATGAACATCGATCCACGCAATTGGGATCGATGACATGCATCAACCAAGTCAGTGAGCCTGACCACCCGATCCCGTTAGTCGCCTTTTATGGCAAGCAGGGGTTGCTGAAGACGTATTCTACCTCGGATCTTCACGGGTCCATCAACTGGTATACGGATCGAATCCAGATTCTACCCGATTAAGAGTTGCACGTTCTTATGTCCTTGTATACAACCTGTCACTGGGATCTATAACCCAAAATCTGCCTGGTCGTAATTATTATGCAAAGCGGTGTGAAATCCGACTCAGTGACGTGAGGTGGGGGACCGGCCATTTAAACTTCTTGGAGGGGCCTCGTGTATCTGTCACTGCTTCAAGACAAGCATTCCCTTTCTCTGAGAGGAAGTATATCCATGTCCAGCGGACAATTATTAGTTTTTGTCCGCTGACATAAAAAATAACTTCCATACTTTTGGGAATAAGAAGAGACGGTGGTGTAAGTGAGTGAGTGAGTATGGTTTTACGCCGCCTTTAGCAATATTCCAGCAATATCACGACGGGAGACACCAGAAATGGGCTTCAAACATCGTACCCATGTCGGGAATCGAACCCGGGCCTTCGGCATGACGAGCAAACGCTTTAACCACTAGGCTACCGGACCGCCTACGAGACCAGTTATAAAACTTGGACCGACTTGTTTGTTTGAGGGCGGTCTGTAAATAATCGAATCTGGACCAGAAAATCTAGTGATTGACACCACGAGCATCTTCCTACGCAGTTGGGATACAACGACATGCATCAACCAAATCAGTGAGTCTAACCACTCGATCCTGTTAGTCGCCTCCTGAAGACTTATTGTATCCCGGATCTTCACGGGTGTTGCAATTTCGAAAAAGACAACTTACTTTTCAATTTAGTTCGCAGTCGCACCAAAATTGTCAAAATATTCACACACAACTGTTATATCGCTGTGAAACAAACTTCACTCACTCACTTATACATAACAGATAAGAGTAGCTTTTGTTGTCTTTATAGATCTAATTCACGACCAATAACTCTACGTAAACCTTAAGAGAGTACAATATCATGCGCGACTCTGCTTATCACTACAGTTCATGAACCCATACGCCCTTTCTATTGAAAGTGATTTCTAAAGAAACCTTACATACATACTGCCTCTCTGTGTAACTTTCGTTGTTATTGACGATAAAACCTCCCACTTCTTGCTGGAGAAAGTGATATATATATCACCCGTGTGACGTCACGCACGCGAGCACGTGATGTCCTGTTTGTCAATCTCAATTATGACGCGACGATTTGTGGGTCAAGTTGCCGATAAAGAAACGAACTGGACAACGAGAGGTTGTCAATGTCTGACAGTTTGCTGTGTTGACTTGCCTTCGTAAAGGGCTGGAAACTTAAGACACATCTGATTGGCATACATTTCATGAACACACGAAATAGATAAGATCGTCCACTACTAACAGGATTTACAAACGAAAGGCGTGCGTGACAAGTTCGATCACTTTCGGTGTACATTTCATTTCACTTATAATCTGTCAGAGGTTGCCCGTTGAACTGAAGAATGTGGATTGAAACATACGGAGTATAATCTGGACTACATTTTACAGAATGAATTTCATATATGTTGGATTAATGACGTCACTCCTTACAACCTTACCAGGTAGGTGTGCCATGTAGTTTATACAGCGAAATAGACAAGTAACTTTTCCCGATAGAATAGAAATATAAATGCATGCGTTGTTTCAAATATGTTGTTTGTTTGGTTATTAGTTTGATTGTTGTTACAACCACCAATATTCCAGCTATATGACGGCGGTCTGTAAATAGAAGAGTCTGGGCCAGACAATGCAGTGATTGACAGAGTGAGCTTCGATCTTCGCAATTAGGATACGATGACATGCATCAACTAAGTCAGCGAGCCTGACCACTCGGTCCCGTTGTCGCCTCTTAAGACAATTCAAACAAGTCAAATCATCAGTTTCATTACTTTTGTTTCAAAGTCCTCTCCAGCTTTCTTATAAACAGCCGGGTAAAAGACAGTATACACCAGAAACATGGACTTGACCACACAATTACACACGTTATCAGTATACACCAGAAACATGGACTTGACCACACAATTACACACGTTATCAGTGTACACCAGAAACATGGACTTGACCACACAAATACACACGTTATCAGTGTACACCAGAAACATGGACTTGACCACACAATTACACACGTTATCAGTATACACCAGAAACATGGACTTGACCACACAACTACACACGTTATCAGTATACACCAGAAACATGGACTTGACCACACAACTACACACGTTATCAGTATACACCAGAAACATGGACTTGACCACACAATTACACACGTTATCAGTATACACCAGAAACATGGACTTGACCACACAACTACACACGTTATCAGTATGCACCAGAAACATGGACTTGACCACACAACTACACACGTTATCAGTATACACCAGAAACATGTACTTGACCACACAATTACACACGTTATCAGTATACACCAGAAACATGGACTTGACCACACAAGTACACACGTTATCAGTATACACCAGAAACATGGACTTGACCACACAATTACACACGTTATCAGTATACACCAGAAACATGGACTTGACCACACAATTACACACGTTATCAGTATACACCAGAAACATGGACTTGACCACACAATTACACACGTTATCACTATACACCAGAAACATGGACTTGACCACACAACTACACACGTTATCAGTATACACCAGAAACATGGACTTGACCACACAATTACACACGTTATCAGTATACACCAGAAACATGGACTTGACCACACAACTACACACGTTATCAGTATACACCAGAAACATGGACTTGACCACACAATTACACACGTTATCAGTATACACCAGAAACATGGACTTGACCACACAACTACACACGTTATCAGTATACACCAGAAACATGGACTTGACCACACAATTACACACGTTATCAGTATACACCAGAAACATGGACTTGACCACACAAGTACACACGTTATCAGTATACACCAGAAACATGGACTTGACCACACAACTACACACGTTATCAGTATACACCAGAAACATGGACTTGACCACACAACTACACACGTTATCAGTATACACCAGAAACATGGACTTGACCACAAAATTACACACGTTATCAGTGTACACCAGAAACATGGACTTGACCACACAATTACACACGTTATCAGTGTACACCAGAAACATGGACTTGACCACACAATTACACACGTTATCAGTATACACCAGAAACATGGACTTGACCACACAATTACACACGTTATCAGTATACACCAGAAACATGGACTTGACCACACAATTACACACGTTATCAGTGTCCACCAGAAACATGGACTTGACCACACAATTACACACGTTATCAGTATACACCAGAAACATGGACTTGACCACACAATTACACACGTTATCAGTATACACCAGAAACATGGACTTGACCACACAACTACACACGTTATCAGTATACACCAGAAACATGGACTTGACCACACAACTACACACGTTATCAGTGTACACCAGAAACATGGACTTGACCACACAATTTCACACGTTATCAGTGTACACCAGAAACATGGACTTGACCACACAATTACACACGTTATCAGTGTACACCAGAAACATGGACTTGACCACACAATTACACACGTTATCAGCATACACGAGAAACATGGACTTGACCACACAATTACACACGTTATCAGTATACACCAGAAACATGGACTTGACCACACAATTACACACGTTATCAGTATACACCAGAAACATGGACTTGACCACACAATTACACACGTTATCAGTATACACCAGAAACATGGACTTGACCACACAACTACACACGTTATCAGTATACACCAGAAACATGGACTTGACCACACAATTACCACGTTATCAGTATACACTAGAAACATGGACTTGACCACACAACTACACACGTTATCAGTATACACCAGAAACATGGACTTGACCACACAATTACACACGTTATCAGTATACACCAGAAACATGGACTTGACCACACAACTACACACGTTATCAGTATACACCAGAAACATGGACTTGACCACACAATTACACACGTTATCAGTATACACCAGAAACATGGACTTGACCACACAACTACACACGTTATCAGTATACACCAGAAACATGGACTTGACCACACAATTACCACGTTATCAGTATACACTAGAAACATGGACTTGACCACACAACTACACACGTTATCAGTATACACCAGAAACATGGACTTGACCACACAATTACACACGTTATCAGTATACACCAGAAACATGGACTTGACCACACAACTACACACGTTATCAGTATACACCAGAAACATGGACTTGACCACACAATTACACACGTTATCAGTATACACCAGAAACATGGACTTGACCACACAACTACACACGTTATCAGTATACACCAGAAACATGGACTTGACCACACAATTACACACGTTATCAGTATACACCAGAAACATGGACTTGACCACACAAGTACACACGTTATCAGTATACACCAGAAACATGGACTTGACCACACAACTACACACGTTATCAGTATACACCAGAAACATGGACTTGACCACACAACTACACACGTTATCAGTATACACCAGAAACATGGACTTGACCACAAAATTACACACGTTATCAGTGTACACCAGAAACATGGACTTGACCACACAATTACACACGTTATCAGTGTACACCAGAAACATGGACTTGACCACACAATTACACACGTTATCAGTATACACCAGAAACATGGACTTGACCACACAATTACACACGTTATCAGTATACACCAGAAACATGGACTTGACCACACAATTACACACGTTATCAGTATACACCAGAAACATGGACTTGACCACACAACTACACACGTTATCAGTATACACCAGAAACATGGACTTGACCACACAACTACACACGTTATCAGTGTACACCAGAAACATGGACTTGACCACACAATTACACACGTTATCAGTGTACACCAGAAACATGGACTTGACCACACAATTACACACGTTATCAGTGTACACCAGAAACATGGACTTGACCACACAACTACACACGTTATCAGTGTACACCAGAAACATGGACTTGACCACACAACTACACACGTTATCAGTGTACACCAGAAACATGGACTTGACCACACAATTACACACGTTATCAGCATACACGAGAAACATGGACTTGACCACACAATTACACACGTTATCAGTATACACCAGAAACATGGACTTGACCACACAATTACACACGTTATCAGTATACACCAGAAACATGGACTTGACCACACAATTACACACGTTATCAGTATACACCAGAAACATGGACTTGACCACACAACTACACACGTTATCAGTATACACCAGAAACATGGACTTGACCACACAATTACCACGTTATCAGTATACACTAGAAACATGGACTTGACCACACAACTACACACGTTATCAGTATACACCAGAAACATGGACTTGACCACACAATTACACACGTTATCAGTATACACCAGAAACATGGACTTGACCACACAATTACACACGTTATCAGTATACACCAGAAACATGGACTTGACTACACAATTACACACGTTATCAGTATACACCAGAAACATGGACTTGACCACACAACTACACACGTTATCAGTATACACCAGAAACATGGACTTGACCACACAACTACACACGTTATCAGTATACACCAGAAACATGGACTTGACCACACAACTACACACGTTATCAGTATACACCAGAAACATGGACTTGACCACACAACTACACACGTTATCAGTATACACCAGAAACATGGACTTGACCACACAACTACACACGTTATCAGTATACACCAGAAACATGGACTTGACCACACAACTACACACGTTATCAGTGTACACCAGAAACATGAACTTGACCACACAATTACACACGTTATCAGTGTACACCAGAAACATGGACTTGACCACACAATTACCACGTTATCAGTATACACTAGAAACATGGACTTGACCACACAACTACACACGTTATCAGTATACACCAGAAACATGGACTTGACCACACAACTACACAAGTTATCAGTATACACCAGAAACATGGACTTGACCACACAATTACGCACGTTATCAGTATACACCAGAAACATGGACTTGACCACACAATTACACACGTTATCAGTATACACCAGAAACATGGACTTGACCACACAACTACACACGTTATCAGTATACACCAGAAACATGGACTTGACCACACAATTACACACGTTATCAGTATACACCAGAAACATGGACTTGACCACACAATTACACACGTTATCAGTATACACCAGAAACATGGACTTGACCACACAACTACACACGTTATCAGTATACACCAGAAACATGGACTTGACCACACAACTACACACGTTATCAGTGTACACCAGAAACATGGACTTGACCACGCAACTACACACGTTATCAGTGTACACCAGAAACATGGACTTGACCACACAACTACACACGTTATCAGTGTACACCAGAAACATGGACTTGACCACACAACTACACACGTTATCAGTATACACCAGAAACAT